GAGTCGAACTCTGTGTCACCCAATAACCCACGTCTGAATGGACCCGAGGTATGCTGGGGCTATGTAAGGGACGCATTTCACGCGGAGCCAAGCCATTCTACAATCGGATAACGAGAGATCGTTGGCATTACGACAGCCCAGTATATCGGTCGGCGAGCCACGTGAAGACCACCTAGACTGCGCTACCAATTCGCCGCAATACGCGGAAAGTGCCGTAAACCGACAAGTCAAGAACAACTAACATACAATCTTTTTAAGGACTATTTTAGGGATCTTCATCGATCCCCTAATTTTGAAGTCGTCGTGGCCTAACGAATAAGACGTCCGGTGCATTCGTGTTGAGCGATGCACCGGTGTTCAAATCTCAGGCGGGTAGGTACCAATTTTTCTAATGAAATACGTACTCAACAAATGTTCACGATTTATTTCCACGGTGAAGGAATAACATCGTGTAATAAAAATGAAACAGGCAAAATTATAATTTGCATAATTACTGGTGGTAGGACCTCTTGTGAGTCCGCGCGGGTGGGTACCACCACCCTGCCTATTTCTGCCGTGAAGCAGTAATGCGTTTCGGTTTGAAGGGTGGGGCAACCTATGTAACTATACTCAAGACTTTAGAACTTATATCTCAAGATGGGTGGCGCATTTACGTTGTGGATGTCTATGGGCTCCAGTAGCTCGTCCATCCATCTAAGCAATAAAAAAAAGCATACGAAGGAGACTTACTGGAGACCAGAATTCAGGAAAAATCCTTAACCTGGCTTTTGATATTTAACTATTTTCACTGGAAGTAGATGGTCTTGTGAGCCCGCACGGGTAGGCACCGGCACCTTGCCTATTTTACCATGAAGTAGTAATGCGTAATCCTCAAGATGGGTGACGAAATTTTCGTTGTTGATGTCTATGGACTTCCCTAACCACTTAGGATCAGAGGGTGGGAGAAATTCGTTCATCCGTCGTGTGCAATAAAAAAAATCTTTGTAACTCGATTACCATGCTTCCTTTCAAGGCTACCTTCCAAGTTCGAGACTTATCGAGTTCAGTAATAGGCTGGATTAACAACGCTAGTTATTCAAGTGGTAAGCATCATACATTAATGCCACCGCATCACCGGCCTTTGAATCCAGCCGGAAAATAAACTTCGGGTTTCGTTTATTTGAGCCACATCAATCCAGCACGTAAACAGGAAATGCACTGATTATACAAATGAAAACCACACATTTTTAATAATTCATATATTTTATTGGATTGCAAATTACAAATAAGGATAAAAGTGAACAAACTATATAATCTGACTGATTAAATTTATATACCTAATAATAATAATAATTTATCTCACAGTCGCTTTTTAAGACAATATAATTTTTGCTATATTATTAATACACTTTGCAATCAAAACAAAAATAAACATGCCAATGACCTCTGTTTGTTACTTCATAATGACAATTTCAAAAAAAAAAAACGTATGCAGCTAACCAATTTGGTAAAAGGTCACTTCTAATATTTATTCTTATTTTGATCACAGTGCAAATATAGGCACTACGAAGAGGTGACGCGGATCTATTTTAATGATGGAACATTCTAACCCAAGTATCAACATTAATTTGTTCTGTTTAATAATAATAATATTTAAATATGATGAAAGCGTAATCAATTTATTTTTCAGAGCAATTTCAATTTTTCAATCCGCTTTTTTAAATATATTTATAATTTTTAATTCGACGTAATTATCTTTTATTTACTCTTAGATTCAAACATTCACAATGAGGTACTTCTTTACATAAGTCTTTTGTTTAATTTACATTTCCACCTTTTCCATTTCGATATACTTTATCCACTGTGAGAACTTGAATAAATAAACCAAATAAATAAAAATCGTTTGTATAAAAAAATAAATCAATAATAATATGAATCTCAAATCGTAAGTACTAACTGGTACATAAGGTACAGATTGTGAAATAATAAAAATTTGATTAACATAGTAGATAAATGTAATTATGTAAATTACGATGCGTTTTTTTTTTTTTTATCACGAAAGCCAATTTTTTCGTCGTTATACTATATTTTATGTCATTCAAGCCATCGTTTGGCATCCGTTTGCCAAATCAATCAAACTAACAAATCGGAAGCGTAAAACTTCGATAGCTTCCGAAATTATGCATTTACATAATGTTAACAATATATCTATATCATGGGTCTACAAATTTCACCATACATAATCACGTTACGTACTCGATCTCAAACTCGAGACCGTTGCACTAAATAATGCCCACGTCAGCGCTAGCTTAATGCGGACGGTGCTTTGAAAACGTTACTGCAGATAAAACTAAAAACAATTTTAATGTTTTTCATTAATGTTTACAAACGTTTTGAGGTTATCTTAATCGGCTTAAGACATTCGAAAAAAGAAAATTTAACAGTTTCAGAGTTTAAGCATATCGACGCTTGAAAGGCAAACGTGACTAAGCGACAATAACTGCTTTTTATACATAAATGACAGGCAATAACCATATGCGATGCGCAAAAAAATATATTTCTAGGTCTATTAAAATCATTTCAATCCTACAGCTAGATTCGTTAAAATAGAATTTTTTTCAAGTATTTCAACTTTAAATTAGTCTACTGTAAAGTTCACGCATTGTCGCTTAATCACGTTTGCCTTTCAAGCGTCGATATCGTTATCTAAAAAAAAAAAACAACACTAAATCACACACATTATGCTAACTACACTATAGATTAGACGTTTATTTAAAATGTTCCGTATTCAAGCACCGTCGCGCGTACAATCACAAAACAATAGCGTTACGATCCATTGCGGTTGACAATTCGTCCGGCTCCAACCTTATTGCCTAAATTAGCGAAACAACGTAAGCCTAGATAAAAATTACATCACTACTTCGTTTTTTTATTTTGACTAGTACGCACAAAGAGCGATGGTCGCGAAACATTCGATTTGAACGAAAAAGACATCGATTTTAATAATAATAATAATAACCACTCAACGAGAATCATGAGGATTAGGAAACCGCTACTACTCGAAATACATTTGCACGGTTCTAGATAAAGCGGTATGCTAATAAAAACTACGCTAATGATGGAACCGTTCACTTACCACTGTAACGGTAACCAAAAACCACGTGACTATGACCTCTCATGTCCTAAGATTTCCTTATGATTCGTAGCTCTCTCATAAATTAGACAGCAATCGAACACGTGTCGTGTTGTAAGTTGTGTGTTGTGGCATTCTATCAATCTTTCGACCAACGATCTCTGTGGTAGTTGCTTTACTAATATTAGTGAGAATCTAACATAAACTGGATAATAAACGCTGTTTCCATTCAAGCCTGATTCACTGGTTATACATATGTATGTATATGTCCACTTCACTTTTTAGTGGATCTCTTAAATCAGTGCCCACTATCCAGCGATCATCGTCACAAATGTATTAAAATTAATTTCATCAAATTAAATAAATTGTAATAGAATAAAACCCATTGTATTAATGAAACCTTAAACTATTTTTGCACCATTACACTTTGATTAACGTAATATAAAACGAATAACTCAGTGTGTTTTTACTATTATAAAAAAAAAAAGCAAATAATATAAAACTCATCACACAATATAGCATGGTAAAATTAATTCAAGTATAATCATAAAATAAAAAGTCAATTAAAATATTGCACACAGTAAATTGCTTTTGTAGCTTATTAAAAAAAAAAACGATGAAGAAAAAAAAAACGTTAAATAAATCATAGTCAAACAAGTGAAAATTTTATCATTATAAAGTTGTGATTCTATTGACAACCGTAGCAAGATTTTACTAAAACTCGTCATAAAGTATTACGATAATAATGATTCATTCTTCTTATACATACAATATTACAATAAACTAACTACGTAACGCTAATAAAATGAATTATTTGGTGGTTAAATCATTGTACATTCATAATTCTAAATGAGATTAAAAAACCAGAAATGTTCAAGACGAAAACAAATGACGAAAACGTAGAACACGCAAACACAAATCAACAACACACAAGCATATACATAGTTGAATATTATTAAGCACACGAAAATATAAATATAAGTAAGTTTCTTTCATAGTCCTTCGTAGTACAATGCCGTGCACTTGTACAAAGTTGAGAAATGACCGTGCGAAATGTGTGTGACGAATTATGACGTAGATTATTATTACCGAAACGTTAATTGAACACGTACGTTTTCATTTCAATTTGATTATAAAATGCCAAGGTGTTCAATTAAAATCTCAGAATTGTGAATAGGATTTGTGGATTTCGAAAACGACCCGACTCTGTTAAATCAATTCCTCCATTGCAAATTGCAACCAAACTCTTAATTTTAAAAATACTGATCTCTAACTTCTAGCGAAAATCCTTCTAGATTAATCATTTAATGGTAGTGTATTTATATTACTCTCGTACTTATTATTGTGTTACAAACGGTTTATCGTTACGATATTCAATAATTTCAATATTAACACTTCGAACGTGATCGTGCGATCGGGTGACACGAAGTCTATAAATATACACTTCGAAATTAAATAACACAAATACACTACCAATAACGAGAGCCTATTCACAAATGTTAAAGCTTCGAAACGAGCTGCAAACTTTACACCCACACATATAAACACTTTTGCTGAGAAAAAAAAAGTGGGTAGTTATGAAAAAAAAAAGATGTGTGGTGTCGTGGGACACCGGATAGAAACGAAGTTCCATATTATAAAAATATTAATTTTAAGTTTTATTCGAGGTATAAGGAAAATAAAACTGGAGGTTTCGCAACAACCCACGGTCATTCGGTATCGCGCGAACTTATTGTGGTACAACTTCATTCACGGTTGTTTGCATAAGAGTTAGTGTATTGCGCAAACGAACGCTCTGAGATCGTGGTCAATTAATGATAAAATGTTATTAAAAATGTTATTTTTTGTACGTTATTACAAAGTTAAGTCGTACACTGTGTGCATTACTAATAAAAATCTTACGTTACGGACGTTTTTTCACGGTTAGGGTACCCCTCCGCACCGTCCCATAAGGAACTTCGTTCTAAAAATTTATATATTTTATTAGTGTACTATGTATGCAGTGTTTAAGTTTGCAACTCGTTCGTATGCCGTATAGAGGACTCAGACGTTGATCAGAGCCTCTGGTTTAGTCGACGTGCACACATATACGTAGTCGGATTCAGAGTCGACTCTCGCACGGTCGGCCCTGCGTTAGGCCGTCGCTACTTGCCACACTATCAAGTGACTCTTAGAGGCCCTCTCAATTAACGAGCTGTGGCCACTCGAGGAACCATCTTCGGCTACCACCACGCTGTCCTCCATCTCCGAGTCGGCTGTAGGTACAATTTTTTTTATATATTGCAAACAAAAACTGATTGCATACACAATTAGTCTTGATAGAGAACAGTAAATCGAAGAAGTTATTTAGAAAGATTAAAAATAAAACTTTAATATTGCAGTTTTAGTTATTGACAAAATCGTAAGAACATTAGCAATATACACGTTAGCTTATATTAAGTCTATTTTTTTACAGGACTGCCCGGAGTGAGTTTAATGTTTTCAAGTTTGATGTACGTGTGTAAGTTTCTTTTGTCAAAATCATTAAATGCGTGAAAGTTTTTGGATCATTAGGATCCTTACATCACTCTGAATAACGCTAGCCAAATGTTCTTGGCAGGGCAGCCGTGTTATAATTTTTTTTAGATGTATATTTTATTATTATCACTACAGTTTTCGTTAGTAGTTTTATGTACAATACCAAAAGTTAGGGATTATTTTTAAGGACTGAGTTTACTTTTGTTTACAGGTGACTTTTTGGCTTTAACTGAAAATAAATGTCAGTTCGGATGTGATGTGAGATGTGAACTGCAAGCAATCTATTGCATTGTGATAAGCTCTTTTTAATGAACAATAGTCAATGAAAAAGGTTCCGTAAATATGAGCACGTAAGTGTGATATTTGCGTGTCAACGTGCCGATATGACGTCGCTGTCTAACCGATACCAGTGAAGTGTTCTCATGACCCCGGCGTTTAGTGTGTTAGCTATGTTAGTGATGCTGAAGCAGTAACATGCGTTGAAAAACGTACCATTTCGTTTTAATAAATTTAACTCTTATTCTCTATCAGGTACGTTTGGTTTTCGTTTACGATCTGCCAGACAATGAGATGGGACGCCGTGTCTTTCATGTCATCGGCATGCTCTTCTATATAGGCGAAACAATAAAAATAATAATTCAAGAAATCAAAACTGCCTATTGAATAATTTCTACTAAAATGTTTTTTGTAAGCCGAATCGAAATATCACAAGAGCGTTTGATTACATTAGTAAAAAAAAAAAACTAAATTAATGAGTTGAAAGTTCCAATTGTTATGAATATACCGAAACCTCTTCGACGTTATTAATGATGTTACACATTCTATTAAGCCGAAATTTAGCGTGTTATTTTATTATCGATGTAACGTTAAACATTTTAGTAGAAAACAGCACCTGGAAATCAAATCAAACAATAGGCACATGAAATGAAAGAAACAAAACCAAAACTACAAAATTTTTAAGCATCGATAAAAAGCGTATTATAATAATTAAGCGTCAAATTACTAACAAATTTAAGCTACTATAGCGTTGTCCGGAATAAACGTGGATTGCGGTAATTATTATGTGATCAGAGAGACTAACGTGCATATTGCTTGGTTTGATGTAAAATTTGTAGTATTCTTTTTAAGAATCATGTATGGAGGGGTTCGATGTGTTTGTTATACGAAATGTTAAGTTTCATTATTAATAAACATAATGGCGATGTCAATATGTCAAACAGTGTATGTAATTAATACGCATATTTAGATGCTCAATGAAGCTCTCCGTATACGTGGTTGATAAGGTTAACTATTCATAATCAAATGTTACGTTAGTGAAGCGAACGATGCCTAATCGATAATTTGTTTTTAATATTATTTATTTATCTATCGAACAATAGTGTGTTACAATGAATAATGAAATTTCAAAAAAAAAAACAACTTTATTAAGCACTGCTCTATGTATTTTTAGTTCTTTGATTATTGTCGAAAAATATTTTTAGCATATTCGCAAAAGAACTAGATATTTGAATTCCGCGCATGATAACGAGACGTTATTTTTACATAACAAATAATACACGTTGCTTTGCTTATAGTAATTTAAGCAAATAAAATTGTATCCTTAATTCGTTGAGCAATTGACGTGAAAGAGTTAGAAACAAACCCATTTCTATATTTATATATACGTAAAGAAAAATCTTCATTGTCTAAAAACTCTTTAGTTTTCTAAAAAGAATTTTCAGTTTCTTTAAAATCTTAATTTTATTATTATAGATTAAGAGCTTTAAATGTTTTTTTCTTATTATACATATAACAGAAAACGCAAGTAAGCCTTTTATTGTTTACTGATTCTAAAGTACCCAATATTAAAACTCAGATTACAGTTTGTGTTTTTATTATGTTTGACAATCGTCTAAAGGGACTTCGACGTAAGGACTACTGCTATTTGTGTACCTTGTTTTCATAAAATAAGCTCCTTACCTATTCTAAAGTCAATATATCCCTCGCCTCCGGATATGACCAGCATCGGCGGCTGGTTCGAACCCTGCTGGGGCGACTCCGGTGTTCTGGCTGGCGAACTAGCGGCTCCCGGTACCGCCACGAAGAACTTGACCGCGTCTCGGTGACCGTGGAAGCTGAGCTGGGCGTGAGCCATCGAGCACCAGGGTATAACCCCAGTCGGACTCGCGGATCTCGTTCGATTCAATGTTGCATGAACTGAAAATATTGCCTGGTGTTAGGTGGTTACTGGAGCCCATAGACATCTACAACGTAAATGCGCCACCCACATTGAGATATAAGTTCTAAGGTCACAGTACAGTTACCACGGCTGCCCCACCCTTCAAACCGAAACGCATTACTGCTTCACGGTAGAAATAGACAGAGTGGTGGTACCTACTCGTGCGGACTCACAAGAGGTCCTACCACCAAAAATGCGTCCGGATATTTTTTTTCTCTTTCATCTTAATACAAAAGAAAACGAAATACACTTAAAACCAGGTGGGCTGCGAGGTCGTCCAACCATCTAAGCAATAAAAATAAATAAACAAAAACTTACTCGGATCTCGATTAGCTTCGGACAGTGGCACGGATATAACAACCCCATTGCTGGTTCCGATCCAAAGTCGCCCGGAACTGATTAGAAGCGCCGTGATCCTGACCAGGGAGAATCCAAGTTTGCCAGTTCCGAGCATTTTGCTCACGTACGGTTCGATGTCGACGTTGCACAAGTTCTTGTATGTGTGCGCGTGGTACAGACCGAGGGTCGAGTCCATTTTTATCGACACCTAAAAATGTGAATTTCAATGTTGCATTTTACTGTGTACATATTTATGTGTATTTTACTGGTGGTAGGACGTCTTGTGAGTCCGCACGGGTAGATACCACCAATCCGCCTATTTCTGCGGTGAAGCAGTAATGCGTTTCGGTTTGAAGGGTGGGGCAGCTGTTGTAACTATACTGAGACCTTAGAACTTATATCTCAAGGTGGATGGCGACATTTACTTTGTAGATGTCTATGGGCTCTGGTAACCACTTAACACCAGGTGGGCCGTAAGCTCGTCCAATCCACAAAGCAATTTTTTATTTATTTATCAAAAAATACATTTTATGAACCGGTTGGACATTGCAGTCAATCGATCAGTCTTGTAAAATGAAGTCAAACTCTATATCGTATAACCGCTATACCATCAGCCAGACTGGAGCCAATGAGTTTTTTTTGTTTTTTTGCTGTCAACACCCACAATGCGATGATGGCGAAAGTCCGTGACGAGATACGCTACCGTCAGTAATTACACAATTAATTACGTCTGCAAGTCGATTTCGTCTAGACCTATTAGCGCGGTCCCAATACACAAACTTTAGCCAATGAAAATGGCCAGAGATGCCAAAAATTTAAATTAAAAAAACGAATATTCTTCTCATTGTTCCAAAGCCTCTCTTCACAACCGAAGTCTTCGATGCTAACAGCTCATTTTAATGCAATTATTCCTTACCCATACTCCATCGCCGTGACACGCCATCTGTCGCACTTGACTCTCTTGTCTAGGATGAGCTTCGAGAGTGTGAAGTAGTTGTCTCGTACGAGGATCGATCACCTGGACCTTGTTGCGGTAACCGCACCAAACCGTACAGCCGACCGCACTGAGGCATCGCACTGTCGTAAATCACAAAATAATTATGAGTAAATTTGAACTTTACTTACAATATAACGGCCGTCTGGTGTAATGGTAAGTGACATGGTCACTACACAAGAGGGTCGAGGGTTCGAATCCCGCCAAGGGAGGAAATTTGTATGATAAAATTAAATATAAAATGTCTTTTCCAGGGTTATGAATGTATATAAACTATACGTATGTGTATAATAAAAATCTTACATTTATTTCCATTATCTGGTACCTATAACACAAATTCTTTACGAACTTAGCACGGGACCAGTTAACGTGGCGTGATTGTTAGTATTATAAATATATAAATCTTATGCTTAAGTCGTCAATAATTCTTTTTTTTTATTGCTTAGATGGATGGACGAGCTCACGACCCACCTGATGTTAAGTGGTTACTGGAGCCCAAAGACATCTACAACGTAAATGCCGCCATCCACCTTGAGATATGAGTTCTAAAGTCTCAGTATAATTACAAGGGCTGCCTCACCATTCAAACCGAAACGCATTATAATTTTGCGAGAGGGATTTTTATTACACGATATTATTCCTTCACCGTGGAAGTCAATCGTGAACATTTGTTAAGTACGTATTTCATTAGAAAAAATGGTACCCGCCTGAGATTCGAACACCGATGTATCGCTAGATACAAATGCACCGGACGATCATCCTTTAGGCCACGACGACTAATGTGACCCCTTCTTATAAAGTTTAGCAGGACTAAAGTTATGAAAAACCGAAATTAATCAATATCAAGGTCATCCTAATATGATGGCGTTATTAAACCAGTTAATATTTTTAAGCGAAATAATTTAGAAAAATGTGATTTAATTAAAATTACCTGAACATTTAGAATCGCCTAGAGTCATGAGCCAATACTGAGTGAAATCCCACTGTCCATCTGCAAGTCGGGCAAATATAGCTACTGTTCCATCAGCGAGCGCGACCACGCAACGAGAAGCACACGACACTATGGCCAATATAGCATCGTTCAGTTTGATCCTGTTAATTAATAAATACACATCTATAGTCTATACTAATATATAAATCTACAGTGGTTTTTACGGATGTTCCGTTATAACTACTGAACCGTGCATCCGATTGACTTAAAACTTGGTATCCATGTAGAAAATACATGTACTTAATGTGGATAGGCTAATATTTATATGAGTGTTGGACTCCCTACACCAGTTGCGGGGGCGTTACTGATGAGAATCTTTGTGGGGGTGAGAAATAATAATGTTAATTTTAAATGCCCAGCGAAGCGGACGGGTACAGCTAGCAATCGATAACGTTTTAAACATACAACGTACAATAACAATGATACGTAGCTCGGGTATCTTTGAACGATCTTTTTTTTATTATATGACAACTTAAGTCGACAGTTATTTAATGTGAAAATCGCGCGAAAGGTTCTGATTTAGTAAGTACCATTAAACTACAACAGATGTCGCCATTTACCAGTCATATAACAAATAGGTATTTTAATATAGTTCAGCGATAGCAACAAGGCATTGTTGTATTAATATAGTACTGGTGATCTCCTCGTAGTCGAAAGTCGACTATAATTAATTGAAATTATAAGTTTGATCACTATTATGGTTCTATTGTCAAAGACTATTATTAAACTTCTATAATCACAGATTTCGCCAACACTACACTATACACAAATAGTATTAAAGACAAATAATATTAATCTATTCTCAATTTGACCGCAGAGTTACAAAAGTTTGACAATAAACATATATATTACATATTATGTATGTGTTGTGTCAAATATTTTTATTATATATTGTATATAATTCTCTATAAGTGTGACAAATTTTATACTCCTCCGTCCGCGCAATTTTCCTAAAAAGGGGCACAAAGTTTTTGCTTCACGTATTAATTAATACGAGAGGTCCTGCAATAGTCGAAATTCTACTATAATTAATTGGAATTGTAAGTTTGTACACTATTATGATGATATTTTATACTTCTATAATCACAAATTTCGCCAAGACTACACTATAAAAAATATTAACAAAGACAAACAATATTTAATCTCAATTTGACAACAGACGTCAAGAACAAAAGTTTGACAATAAATAGTATGCATGCGTATGTGCGTCAAATACATGGTATGTAGTGTGTGTAATGTTTTCTTTATTGATTTAATGTATATTTTATGCATTATTTTAAAAAAATATTAGCAATGTGCACTTCTTCTCTATATTCTCTAAAAGTGTGGAAAATTTCACACTCCTTCGTCCGCGCAATTTACGTAAAAAGGGATACAAAGTTTTTGCTTCACGTATTAATATACAGATATAGATAATTCAATTACTATTGAATTTATCAATTTATGTTAAAGTAACACATCCAATGTACGTACCTAGCCAAGCACTTGCTGTAGTTCCCCATTGCGGAATGTACGTATAGGTTTCCGTTTTTGGTTCCTAGCCACATCGTCGCCATCACGGTGGACATCTTTCGGTCCGGTACATCGCCGCGGTTCTCGACGTTCGATTGTTCCTGTGCGAACGCGTCCAATCCGGGCTCCGGTGAACTGACCGATGGCTCCGTAACTGTAACATATTTTTTTTTAAATATCAAATGTCGAAGGAATTTAATTAATGAATATAATAAAGTCGTCGTGGCCTAAAGGATAAGACGTCCGGTGCATTCGTTTTGAGCGATGCACCGGTGTTAGAATCCCGCAGGCGGGTACCATTTTTTCTAATGAAATACGTACTCAACAAATGTTCTCGATTGACTGACCACGGTGAAGGAATAACATCGTGTAATAAAAATCAAACCCGCAAATTTTAATTTGCGTAATTAATGGTGGTAGGACCTCTTGTGGGTCCGCGCGGGTAGGTACCACCACCCCGCCTATTTCTGCCGTGAAGCAGTAATGCGTTTCGGTTGGAAGGATGGGGTAACCGTTGTAACTATACTGAGACCTTAGAACTTAATCTCAAGGTGGGTGGCGCATTTACGTCGTAGATGTCTGTGGGCTCCAGTAACCACTAACACCAGGTGGGCTGTGTCGTCCACCCATCAAAGCAATAAAAAAAAGTGAAAGTGAATATTTTGATTTTCTTACCATTATTAGGAGTGGAGCTTAGTGGCGGACTGTCATGACCGTCGTTCTCTGCTTCGTCTTCAACATTCTTGACCATCGATTCTTTGGGATTCTCGTCATTATCAGCAGCTGGTTCTTCTGGCTCCTTTACAGGAGTACTCGGTGGAGTTAGAAGGGTTGCCTTTATCTACAAAAATTTAGTTTTATTATTACTGTCTGTAGCGGTAAAATACTGTTTGCACCATTTTTATTTTTGGTTAGCATTAACTTAAAATTTTAATTAATCGTATATATCCCAAATTTATTTACCAATTTAGTAGTTCCAATTACAGTTTCGTTTTCAGTGTTCTCCGCGTTCGTGTCCTCGACGGGGCCATTGGGTTGGCTTTCCACAGACTCACTCTTTCCCACGCATAACAACGACTGGCAAAAAAAAACAAATTAAATACACGGGTCCTTCCAATTTTGAAAATGAAATAAAACGTTGTTTTAATTAATGTAGATTTGTAGCGTGCAACATTCGGTTGCACTCGGGCGTCATCGGTCGCGATCGGAGTTCCCGAACGCGCAGGTGTCCCGTGACGTCATGCGTCAGTTTGGCGCGCGTCCATTTAAGTTGATTGTAAAACGTATTATATTTTTAATTGGTGTCTTGTAGTGCCTAGCGACTTGTTTACTCTTTTTACTTTATAATAGAACATTGTACACATATTACATTATATATATTGTTTAATTGGTGTGTTTGACTTTTATGTGTTCGGAGCATAATAACCCGAGAATACGAATAACAAACCACAGATTAAACTGTCACCTTCTTCAGTGGTTCGCCCGCACTAATAGACGACACGGCGTGAAAGTCGCTACTACAAAAATATACGAGGTTAAAGTGTCAATAGTATCAGAATAATCGGCAGGAAAAGTGTTTTAGACTTTGAAATTTTGCTTTTTTTTATTGCTTAGATGGGTGGACGAGCTCACAGCCCACCTGGTGTTAAGTGGTTACTGGAGCCCATAGACATCTACAACGTAAATGCGCCACCCATCTTGAGACATAAGTTCTAAGGTCTCAAGTATAGTTACCTACAACAGCTGCCCTACCCTTCAAACCGAAACGCATTACTGCTTCACGGCAGAAATAGGCAGGGTGGTGGTCCCTATCCGCGCGGACTCACAAGAGGTCCTACCACCAGTATAATGTTCGATGCGATCCAATTTTGCGTCCGAGTACTAAGACCAAAGCCAAGTATTACCGAATGGCGCTTCGTTTCGGTGTCCCCAGACATTCGTTCTTCGTAATCTTGATAATCTTCTGCAGTGGCACCAGGCACTGAAGCTACACAGAGAATATGCTTATCGCTCACTGAAAAGGATTCGATCACGTCCGCCGGATTGTTCGCATCGATGATCTGATCAGAATAAAGAACACTTTTAATATATGATTTAACAGTGTATTGAATGTATATTAGATTGCACATAAGTGCATGGAAAATTTATGATAGATGCTTTAATAATGAACAAAAAAAGCTACACGTTTTAGCCACTAGAAGCTCCCAATTCCTATGGAAACGTGCTTCAATTTTGATTTGTGTTTATATAATTTTAAATGTATTATTAGGAATATGGGTACATCTAAGAAAACGATACAGGATTCGATTATTAAAAATTTGAGTCTCAGCATTGTAAATTTTTGTGTTTAAATGTCGTTTTAATAAATAAATTATAAATATTCGCTTTTTTCTCTACCTACGCTGATAGCCTTGAGAGGCCATTTCAGCTTCGCCCTAACGTGTAGATGAACTCACGGGGCTCAAACCTGACGACGTTGCTGACACGAACCCTAGCAAGAGCAGTGCTTCGCAGAATCTACCACCGGATCGGAAACGCGACCCACTGAGAAGATCCGGCGAGAAACTCAATGGTCTGTGTCTGTGGGTTAATTTACTCGTCGAGCCCTTCGTCGCAAGCGACGAGTTCGACAAGGACGGTAACCGGTGCTTGAGGTACCTAAAAGCACCGTTAACGTATCGGGAGGATCCGAAATTAATATTCGTTAATAAATATACATATGTCTATTGGTACACTCTGAGCAATGGTTGAATCAATTTAAGGGTGTGTTATTGAACGATGTATTAACATTCAATAATTTTAAGGTTTGTTTTTTAAATCTAAATTTAATTACCATAACTACTCCTTTAGCCTGTGTACTAGCACATATCCAAACCAACGAGGACAGGTTCTTTTCAGTGTACTCCACGCTCTGAGTTGACTGCAGCTGTCTGCTGATCTGCTCGACCTCTGGAGAATGCGCTGACTGCGCTTTGCTCATCTCGTAGGCTGTAATTTTTTTTTTAATTAGAGTTATGTCATTTCTACTACGCTTTTATTAGCTTCAGAAGTATGTATGTTAGTATGTAACGGAATCTTTAAACATGACTTTGACCCCCTTCAAAACGTCGGATCAACTCGAAATTTGGTATACTTATTAAGGACCGATGAAAATTCAATAATTAAAAAAACATTGAAAAAATTTAAATTCTACTAGGAAATGAAAAATAAATAATAGTTTAAAAAAACTAACAAAATCATTCAATACAATCAAACAATAAAATAATTTTTAGTTATCCTATTTTTAATTCAAGTTTATTAAAATTATTCTTTACCAATAGGCACTTTTCAAATGTCACCTCCTGCTTCGAGAGGTGATGTTTAAAGTCAGTTTATTTTATTACAAACATATTATTTTGTTATCGTGACGCTGTTCGTTAATGTATTTTTTTAAATAGTTTTGGCCCCTTGCTTTTTGAACTTCCACACCATAGACTTTATAGCGATATTTAGCAAAGCGCGCGATTTTCGTGCAATCAATGGAAAGCGCTTTTATACGGCCAAACTAAAGGTAAATTGTTAAGGTCACTCTTAAACATCCACAATGCCAGAGGCTTGGTTCCTTGGCGACCTCTACTCTTTCTTAGCAGACGGACGACGGAATCTCAAACACTTCCTCCGACCTCTACTCTAGAAAATACGATAAAAAAACTCAAGACGGAATCAGTCTCACTTTTGACCGAGATATACCATTCGAATCTTAACTGACTTTATTATACGTACCTAAGGACATATTGTTCTCCGTCTTATCGTCTTCATTTGCGTAGAAAACGCTCTCACCAATCATGCAGCCTCCATCCGGAGTCCTACCTCCGTTCAGGTTTACGCCGGCCGCACACAGCAGAGTCATACGCGGCTCACTCTCCGCTATCGGGCTATTACAAAATGTTTGTGTTTAAATAATTTTACAATGCAAGACCTAGAGGGAGATATGACAGAACTCCCACAGACACAGCCCACTGAGTTTCTCGCCGGATCTTCTCAGTGGGTCGCGTTTCCGATCCGGTGGTAGATTCTGCGAAGCACTGCTCTTGCTAGGGCCAGCGTTAGCACCACTCCGGTTTGAGCCCCGTGAGCTCACCTACACACGTTAGGGCAAAGCTGAAATAGCCTCTCAAGGCTATCAGCATAGGTAAGAAAAAAAAAGACAGTACCAAAGCGTTACAATTCAGAAAACAATAGGTTATTCGTAAAACTGAGTTCAAGGGGGTTATTTAAAATGCATTTTTTTTTTACAATATGTCAACTTTGGTTTTGATGTATCAAAATTTTATTGAAACGATCGAATTTCTTTATAATTTTAACACCTCGATTAAAATTATATTAATATTGGTCAAAAAATCTTTGACATAATTTATAATTAATTATGTACGGCAACTTTGCGGCCTACCTAGTATGAAATTATTACAAGAGCCTCTAGACATAACAACGTGAACACTGCCTTATATTTTGAGGCATAAGGTCGTAATCTCGATTGTTTTCCATAACGACTGTCTCACCTTTTCAACCGGGCCACGTGATTGTGTCGTAGTAAAAACAAACAAAAATATTTTGATCTTAATAACTCCCTTCGTTATTTCAGATTGGGTTATTTCAATTAGAAAACAATCGATTATACACCCAATATACTAGTGTCTATAAGTGAGATAATCATTTGTGCCGATCAGTATGCGAGTGTTACAAGTCGGCTTTCCCTTTCATATCATCAATGTGAACGGCGGCATTTACGTTATCATATCTATGTATTGCGATTAGATTCAAAATCGCGTGCTATACAAAAAAAAAAATATTACCGACAAAAAACCGGAACTGGTACCGGAACTCCCCCCGACGACAGGGACGCTGAGGGGCTCGGTCCCTTCTGTCCCTGGCTGTTCTTCCCCGGGAGACTCCAACCGTAAGCGTGCGTGCGCCCGTCTTCCTTACGCACATGTACCCGCACCTACACCCCACCACTCGGTTTGGTAACAACATCGTAACGGACATGAACGTCTTGAGGAAGAACATGTCAATTCGATTTCATTATAAAATAACAAACAACTTATTCATGTGTGTTTATCAACTTATTTTATATCTCTATCTGTATATACGGTAATGACACGCTATTCATGGCTGTTTTATTCAATGAATAACATTCGAAATTCAAGAGACATTATACTTTTTCAATTAACGTTTTTTATTGCATCGCTACAAAAGTTATCAGTGACATCTCAAAACTTGTGTACATAGTGTTACATAACACAAAACGAAATTGACAAGGCACATGATAGATAGTGGAGCCAATTATAATAGCAAGAGCGCAAAATAAAAATAAAAAAACACAAATACTAAAAATAACAACTTTATTTCATCAAACATCACAAAACGACGAACGTAAGAATAAAGCAACTACATTAAAATAGCAGTTATAACGTAAATTAAAATATGCTAAATGTCACTTTACAAGATACTATCCTACATCACTATTTCATCATATCACTGTTCGTTTGAACATTAAATTCATTTAAAATTGAGGCCGTCATTCATTTGGCTGCAAACAAAAGAAAGGTAAAGGAGATTACGTACAGGAAAAGGGTAAAAATAAATAAATAAAAAGACGAGTAGGTACGTCGAAAACGTACAAGAAGAGATTAAACCAACAGAAGCGAGCGTAAGAGGAAATATATAATTTGATGCAGCGCTACATATGGACATTGCATGCGTATTCAACGACTCTGACAGTGCACAGATATAACGAAAACGTCAATACCAATATATGGGAATGTTAATATTGTAATATAATCTAAAAAAAACACGTGTGCAACTAAATTATTAGGTTCTTTGGCACGACACTCAATCGAAAGCGAGCTAGTAGAAGAATATGAAGTCTGTATTCGAATCTAAATCAATGTACACAAAAATTATGCAATGAGGAAAGGAACCAAAGCGCAATCAATACATTCAAAAGACCAAGCGAATATAAGCAATAATGAAATATAACAAACAGCAATATTAAGTACAAAATAAATATAATCGGGCCAAGTATTATTTTCATCCCATTTAGTCTAGCGATTTCTTCTATGGAAATATTTTTTTGTTATATTCTATATAGTTTTATTTATTTAATTATATATTGTATATATATATATATATATATATATATATATATATTGTTTTTTGCAAATTTCAAAGTTTGATCAAAGTAGAACTGCGTTTTGAAACAGAAATATCGTAACATAATATTGCCGTTAATATTTTCAACACAACCAAGGTTATGTTGACTTTTTAAATCGAAAAAAGTTTTTTATAAGTTTAATATCGTCTGTCGTATTTGATTATATTTATTAAATTGATGTAAGGTATGTTCAACATAACAATGTAACAAAATAAAAAGTCAACAAAACAATGAATGAAACTAAAATGTGCCTGTCTATATCTGTTAAAGATTTCTTACAAAAAAATTAAATATATCTTACCTGTCGGAATTGTTCGGTTCTCTCGTGTCGCTTCTGGTGGTGGTCGGAAAGCTGCGCCTCCAAGAAGTCGCCTTGGGTTTGTGAATGTCTCATCGTAGGCTGCGAGGCGGCCACGGCTCTTAGATGAGGAGTGGAAAGCGGTCTTTGTGGACGATCGTTCGAACTGTAAATTCCACAATATTACAACATTAAACACCTCTCTGTTTAAGGTCTATCAAAAAAATAATACACATATAGCTCGCTCTGCGCTACACGCTCAAAATTAAAACATCATTAACAAACATTCATTAAAACATTGATCGTGCAATGCGATTCCAATTTAATTAACTAAACTTTCAAATTGAAAAACAACGACGCGTTTAAATTGAAGCACTAAACATATAATTTCCTGAGCTTAAGAATTACTACAGATATCTAATGATCAACTATAACGGTTAATGAAAATAAATGAAATAAATGAAAATAAATGAATTACGCAAGACGCATAACTAACTAAATGTATGTTATAAAGGTAGGAAAAGGAATTTAGGAGTAGAATAGTTTTACAACGAGAAATAACAGTAAGCATACAAACAAATTGATTGAATATCTACTGAGCTAACTTACCATTGTACAATCGTCACGTGAAAACTAAAAGCTTAATAATATATGAAACCAGATTTTCTTTCAAAGGTTCTTATTTAAATCATGAGATGAAAAAAATTTGAGGCAGTCTTAGGGTATCTAAAAACAAACTTGATCAATTACAAAGCAGAGTCATTAAGTTCGAAATGTTCTCAAGGCGATAAGTATAAGCATTCGAATTTTCGATTAAAAAAATTAAACATAAATTCAAAACACATAACCTGACAAATCGCTAGGATTATTTAACCCTAATCTGACTAATTATGTAATAAGAATAATAAGATTTTATTTAAAACAAAACCATCGCTGGTTCAATTCCTTTCAGTAATGTAACTAGTACCGCTAGTATAATTTTGTAAATATTTTTAAATCTTCTCCTCTTTTTATTGTATTTTCAGCTATTCTCTCTCTAGGCTCACTAGGCTCTTCTCGTAATACCAGACCTCGAAAAAATTACAAAAAAAACATACACATAATAAACACTTTAAGGGGCGATTATAATCATTATCAGGGCCTCATTATAATCATCAGCGTCATATCAAACATATGAAGTATAACACGTATTTACATACGTTCATTAACATCATTAATGACTATTATATTCCACTGTTGGACATATGCCTCTAGTCTCCATCTACTGCCCGGACATCCTACTCACTTCCTATACTACGTTTACCGATTTGCTAATCTTTATATATTATATAATTCTACTGTATATGTGTATGTCACTGAACTCCTCCTAAGCGGCTTTGAATGATTTTTTTGTATTCGCTTGCTTGGGTTGCGCTTTGGATGGTTCAGATTCAGAAATTGGCTCGACAGATGGCGCTGCAGTCGGTATTTAGGTTATTTATCTACACTGCAACTAAACAGCTGGATCGGCTTGAATGAATTTATGTGTATGCATTACAGGACAACGTAGTCGGATCCGCTAGTTACGTATATAAATACAAAATCATAATTTTATTTTTATGCCTTGACATTAGAAAGAATAAGGTTCAATTTTCAAGGTTTTCCGATTTTTTGTAGTCGTCGTGGATCAACGGATAAGACGTCCGGTGCATTCGTGTTGAAGCGATGCACCGGTGTTCGAATCCCGCAGGCGGGTACCAATTTTTCAAATGAGATACGTACTCAACAATTGTTCACGATTGACTTCCACGGTGAAGGAATAACGTATAATTGTGTAATAAAAATGAAACCCGCAAAATTATAATTTGCGTAATTACTGGTGGTAGGACCTATTGTGAGTCCGCGCGGGTAGGTACCACCGCCCAGCCTATTTCTGCCGTGAAGCAGTGATGCGTTTCGGTTTGAAGGGTGGGGCAGCCGTCGTTACTATACTTGAGACCTTACAACTTGTATCTCAAGGTGGGTGGCGCATTTACGTTGTGGATGTCTATGGGCTCCAGTAACCACTTAACACCAGGTGGGCTGTGAGCTCGTCCAACCATATAAGCAATAAAAAAAATAAAAATTTGGCTTCTGATGTCAAGATGCGTTCACTCTCTCGATACCATAAATACCTTCCAGAGATAATGCAGCTTTTGTAACACCATGTATAAAGTTCGCATTAGCAATAAATTCGCTTTATGTATAAACAATTTAATACATTCGCAAATTGGCCATGAAATACAATTAACAGAAAGGTTGATTGTGTTAATGGGCATATTATTTAATAGATTTAATTTCATTGATCAGCGCCTGTTATTAAAACTACAAGAACTCCTTCAATAACGTGAATCGCGGTAACAACATTTTCACGATACATTTGCACAGATATAAATTCTGAAAAAATCCAATTTGGATTTGGTATATCGGGGTATAAACATTACGCGTTCAGTAGATGACCTTCAATTTAAAGAAATATTCTGGCCGTTTGTTAATTTCTAGAAAAATCTACTATTTTATAGTCGAACATAGTATAGTCTAAGTGATTTTTAGTAAATCCAGAACAAAGCGTTCATAGAATGTTCTATTACACTCACTGACAGCTTATGAAGACATTTCATAATATTACATAACATTTTTATTAATACTTAGCCATTAACATAATAAACCTTCCTAAAAATGACAAAATCCAATTTACTTTATACATAACTATTATTCACTTCTGCGAGATTTTATAATTTGATAAATTAAATAATTTCCATGGACTTCATTATGAGCTTAAAGCCAGACGTTTCATGTGTCTGCTCGTCTAAATTAGTGAATTTCATCTTCACATTCGCGGGCTGTATTTGAATCGTAACCGAAAATAGTAGTAAAGTTAGTCTGATTTTCTAACAAGACTATAAAAAACATTTTCACAGAACTACAGAACACACAGACTGGCGAAGTCCACTGCTGTCACTGAGAAAGGTTAATAAATAGGAAATAATGAACCACAAGTATAATTCAGTTCAGAAAAAACTACACTTTAGTACGTCGTTCTCCAAACGTGATCTAATAAATGCGAGAAAGAAATACCTGTGCAAACGCGGGAGCACCTTCGACATTCTTCGGACTCAGACGACTGAAAACTTATCTCCGCGTACAATTTGATTCGAACGTACCTGAATAGTTTACTAAAAAAAGTCCATATGCTCTGCTTGCTCTTCTTGTCGATGGAGTTGTCCACGCGACTGGCACGAACCATCTCGGTCCAGCGAACGGCATCTTGAAGCTCCATTAATCGTTCCTTTAAAAAATACGACAACTCTTATTAGTTTTAATAGGTTTGAAGGGTAGAGCAGCTGTTGTAACTATACTGAGATCTTAGAACTTATATCTCGAAAGGTGGGTGGCGCATTTACGTTGTAAATGTCTATGGGGCTCCAGTAACCACTTAGCACCAGGTGGGCTGTGAGCTCGTCCACTCATCTAAGCAATAAAAAATAAAAACGTTATTAATTCAAACATTAGTCTGATGAACAGGTTGGTTTGCTCTTTGTCTAGGCGTTCATTATCTATATATGTAAATATTTAAACATATATAAGTACCTATATATTAATAGGTGAAGCAAAAACTTTGTATCAATTTTTACGAAAATTGCGTGGATGAATGAGTATGAAATTTCCCACACTTATACAGAATATAGAGAAGGAGTGCAGAATGCTATTTTTTTTTAATTATGCGTTAATAATACATTAAATCAATAAATAAAAACACACATATATGTATACTCTATGTTTATTGTCAAACTTTTGTTGCTTAGAGTCTGTGGTGAAATTGAGAATAGGTTAATATTTATTTGTCTATAGTGTAGTCTTGGCGAAATCTGTGAATAAAGAAATATAATAGTCTTTGAAAATAGAATCATAATAGTGTACAAACTTATAATTTCAATTAATTATCGTCGAGTTTCAACTACCGGGGGACCACTAGTAATAATAATAACACACAACACAGGGAATTCTAAATTGGGACTGAATTTGGATCCCGTCGTTATTATTATTATTATTCATGAATTTAACTTCGCTAGATAATTCCCGGGGGCATTGTCAATTATGTAACTAGTTCACTTCGACTTTTTATACTTGACTTAATAAATTCATTCATAGAAAAAGTATTGCAACGAACAAACAAACCTAACCTATTCTTATTTGTCATTTTATTGTGTGATGAAATTGACCGTAACCAATATTTTGAAATAAATATTAAAAATTGTGTTTTTGAATCAAGTTATTCCAAAAACAGCTATATGTAAAAACTTTTTTTTCTGTAATATAGGATACTAAGTCTTTTGAGTTAGTGTAGTGTTTTTTTCTAATTCGAAATAGTTATAGTGATAGTGACGTCACTAAACAACAGATGAACAAAGTAATTAGACTTAATAGACACTCAAGTAAGGTCAGAGGGTTTTAGCCTAAGAGACATTAATTAAAATATGACCTAGTTTACGTTAAATTAAAATTACTGATTAGTTTTATCGAACTGGGTTGTAATCCGAGTATTACGCCGCATCTAGGTTATGGTACATTACATAAATAAATAAAATAATAGTATACAAAAACATCGTCTTTCACAATCAAATCTATATTTTCGTATGGAATATTGCTTATGACAAAGCGCATACAGTAACGTTAGCTCCAAATTAGAACCTTTTTTAAGGCATATGTGTAAGTAATAAATGCGGGACATTACAAGGAGTAAAATTATGTCGAATTACAATGGTCACGACCCTCAGCAGTGAGGAAACGACGCGAGGAGGAGGAGGAGTGTAAGTAAATATTATAAGTCACCTTTGAATTAGCGTATAGAAGACTAACCACAATACTACATGTTGATGTCGGTTGATAGTTATATTAAAAGCTGATTGGGTACAGTCATTCACTTTGAACATTTATGATAAAGAACGAGGTCAGCTTTCGTTGAAACTATCTTCCGCGCCCCAAGTCAAAACAAGTAGCTTTCAAGCTTTCAAGCTAGCAAGTAGTTAAAGTAATGAATTTTGTTTATACGAAGTCATTTTATAGGTTTACATATTAAAATAGGGTACAAGCTCACGGCCCACCTAGCGTTAAGCGCTTACTGGAGCTCTTAGACATCGCAATGTGAATATCGCCCTACCAATCTTGAGAAATTAGGTACTTTACACGATTCTTTTTTTACGAGTCTGATTTTTATTACGTAATGTTATTCCATTCATCGCGGAAGCCATTCGCGAGCATGACCTAAATAACGTTGGTATAAAAAAAATTGTACCTGTCTGCGGGATTCGAACATCGGCTCTGTCGCATCCCTCGATACGAGTGCACCGACCGTCTTATCTTTTAGGGTACAACGACTTTAAAGCATTTCCGTGTACCTTATATTGGTTACGTTCCATGAGGACACGTGCCATCTCGACGCGCGTGAAGCGGCGTCTCTGCGCCAACGGGACGTCGGCTTCCTCCTCGTTGTCCCCACCGCCAGCGTTGTTGCTCATCGCCTCCTTTAAATGACAAAGTCAATAATTATTAATAAATGAAGATTTCATGAAATACTTAATTTACTCATTGTAAAGCAGCGCTACAGTGTGTAGAATGCAACTTATACATGAGCTGTCGACATCAGACAATATTGAACCTTAAGCGCATAATTGTTAACCAGTTTTTTTATTTTTTTATTGCATAGTTGGGTGGACGAGCTCACAGCCATCGGAGCCCGTAGACATCTACAACGTAAATACCGCCACCCACCTTGAGATATGAATTCTAAGGTCTCAGTACAGTTACAAAGGCTGCCCCACCCTTCAAACCGAAACGCATTACTGCTTCACAGTAGAAATAGGCAGAGTGGCGGTACCTACCCGGTATTTTATCTCCATATACAATTTTATGAAAACCCTAAAATTTGATTGGTCGATCACACCTACCCGTTAGTCAGAACCACCGGCATGCTTATATTTGAAGTGCTGGACCACAGTAAATGCACGTGGAAAAAAATCGTGCAACTAGTTGTCAGAGAAATTAGTCTTCAAACTAAATAAGTTTCAGAAATGAAAGTACCGCCGTAAGAACAAATGATTTTATTGTAAAAATCGTGGTGTGCTTTTCAGGATATTATCAAAATAACCTTTCTACTCATATCTGTTCATAGAATATTTATAACTACCATGCACCTCACGCATTTTTTTTACAATAAAATCATTTTTTCTTACTCTATTTTTAATTTAAATTTATTAACATTTATTTTCTATTTTTTAGTCGGATTTTCTATAAAAGCGTATTTTGTTAGTTGTTTTTAAACTATTATTTATTTTTCATTTTTTAGTTGAATTAAAAATTTTTCAATATTTTTTTAATATTGAATTGACATCGGTCCGACGTTTATCCGGCGTTTTGAAGGGGGTCAAAATTATGTTCAAAGATTCCGTTACATACATACATACATACATACGTCTGAAGCTAATAAAAACGTATTAAAAATAAATACCTTCAAACGTCGCAATTCATCCTCCAATTGAGTCACCCGATCTCTAAGTTTCTCTCGCGCCGAACTTAGATTGGCCACTTCTTCTCGAAGCATCTCCTGTTCGCCGGTCAACTCGTCCACCTTCACTATAAGGTCGTCCTTGACAACGTTCAAAGCGTTCTTCGTGGCCAATAATTCGTTGTTCTCCAGTATCAAGTTTTCGACTTCTTTCCCCATGCCTTCCGGAAATCGTTTATTCAATTAATAAAATTAAACAGATAACAATAATATAATACAAAATTCGAAATTATTTAATGAACGTTTATAAATGACCACTTTACATAATGTTCCGTGACGTGAATAAACAAACTGAATTGCAAATGATACATTAGTTTAGTACAACGCATGATCAAACAATATTAGTTAATGCGATTCGATTTAATGCTAATTGTTATAGAAGCAGTAACCTTTTTTATATGGCTTCTTTCAGAGCCTTTTTACTGGAAATGGACATACTACAAAAAACATATACAATACAACATACGTTGTTATCAAGCAGTATACCTTTTTTTAAAAGCATAATGGATTGCAATATATGTATTATTAAATTTGCACTAGGTTTTATGGCGTTTGGAATACAAAAGTCACGCGTATTGGGAAGACAGATAGCTGATGACGTCATGAGCTCATTGTGCAATGACCGGTGCGATGCCGCGGTTCACGCAGCGCCGCGGCGTAATGTGTGAGATTATTAATACACATTCCTTGATTATATTATTAGTTAAACGACTAACAGAAGCGGGACATGTTATTGTTTGACCATAATTATGTTAATTTAATTAGAGAAAGCTGTTAAAATTTATATAGAACTTTAATGTTTACGATAAAATAGTTTGCATGTTACTTACCAAAGTAGTTATCGTTAACTGCAATGCGTTGATGCATTTTTTTTTTGTTAGAACGCATGGAAAGAACGAACACAGAATTAGTGTTGTATTACATAGTTTACAGTAAAAGGTAAGGGACCGCTCACACACTACGCCAATTAGACACTAGATGCGGTTAGAAATTTAAATGTAATTAAAAAATATATATTGCGTTAAATTAACTCATGTCAAACAATTTTCGTACAACTACAATTAGATAAATGTAGAAATGAAAAAATACTAATAAAACTGTGTCAATTTTATTATGGCGAAGTGTGTGATCGGATGAATAAAAGAAAAAAAAAGATTTGTTTAAATAATAAAAAAAAACACCAAACTAAATATATAAAAAAAGAAACATAATAATACTAGACTATAAAGCTTTTAGCTTGTAATGCGTCCCGATATCTATAGTTTTTTTTAATATATTTATGTACACATAAGTAATCATCATGAAAAAAATTTAAAACGTTACTACTACGTTATACCTATTGATATAAATACTGCGCCTATCGTGAGGTTTCTCACTGAAGCTTTAACCGAGTGGTCGTACAGTGTGCTTAGTGGTAGTTTTTTAACGTTCTCGATAGCGTAAAAGTTTAATCAAATTTGTATGGAGTTGGAACAGCGCCTCTAGCGGCAAACGTAGGCAAACGTTCCAACTTCATACAAATATGAGTTAACTTTTACGCTATCGAGCGCGTTAAAAAATTCGCACTAACAACACTCGGTTAAAACTGGCACACCGAACAAAATTTATACCAGGATTTATTATAGGTATTATTATATTATTTTACAACATTTCGAATGATTAAACAGAGAAGAGATTATTTCATTTCGAACAACGCTATCCTTCATCAGCAATTTTTTTAGTATTTTCACTTGCTCTATAAGTAGCCGTGTAAAATACATATTTTAAACCGTACTGATTCATGTGTACATTAGCACGTTTAATGTTTCGAACTTGACTACTTCCTGAGAAGAGTTGATCTTTACAACAGATAATAATTTGTTATTTTAGTTATGTGTTATTTGTTCTACATACACTCATCACTTTTTATTATTATTCTCATTATCCTCTCGCAGGTCTGCTGGAAGAGATTTCTTAAAGAAATGAGCAGTGCCTTTGTACATAATTTTCCTATTACTCTGTACTATGTCTTCTTTTTTGTGTGTACATAAATAAAAAAATAAAAAAATGCCTCTATACATGTTGATTTTAAACATTTATTTTTATATTTTCTTTGTTAAGTTCTTCATTTAATTACGTTTTTGTTTTGTTAGACGAATCTTGTCTGGATCAGAATTAAGTATATTCTTTAATGGAGGAGTACATAGTATTGGCCGGCACGTGAGATTTGTATCGAAGTGTAAAGTGCACTTTTTTGCTCACGTCAATTTTGCTTGCTTCTCATAGATTAATAAATGATTTAAACAAAATTATTTACAGGAAGAAAGAAGACAATCGAACATATCTGCGTCCGAACAGAAATAGAAAGAGAGTGAGCGAGATAGAGAGAGAAAGACATTGCTACTACAACTCAAGCTACAAGTTTCAAGCAGTACTGCAAAATGTATTGAGTCAATTGAATGATTATTATGTCACATAGTACGCTATAAAGCAGTTAATTGTAGAGGGAACATAATTATTTCCGCACAGCCACGAATTGAGTGCGATCATTTTCCGTGATATTCGCGACGTTATGGTGATCACTTAATGACATCCTTCGGTTTATTTCAGAAAATATTTATTAAAGATATTTACTTGTAAATTTTACTATAATGTATTCTTCTCAACAATATGATTACTTAAGTGTACAAAGACTACTAACACGGTTCTTTGTTTTTAATCTAATAATTGTGAATTAATATTTAAACAAAACATTATTTAAATAAATGCTTAATATGTCCATTTGATTTAAATTTACTAAAATATTTTAATCTGTTACACTATCAAACATAAATAAACATGTGAAAGAATGTGGTGACGAATGATTCTATTTAAATTAATTATTTAATACTGATCGTCCGATTTACTCTAAGAGAATATAATACATATTATATACAATTAATTCCAATTAATAAAAAAAGGCAAATTAAGTACATTGTACATTTGATATGATATACGACTTAAGTCATGGTTACTAAGTTCTTTTTTACGTTCATTAATTGCAAGTTTAAATCAATTTTGGATTTTCAATCTTCGAGGGGAAAGAAAACGGAGTCCATATAGGATCAGTTTACTATCAGTCTATAAGGATGCCATACAAACAAATTATTCTCGGTTAAAACAACCAGAAAATCTATCATGAAAAAATGTATCTATCGTGAAAGTTGGTAAGAGGCAAGCCCTTTATAGCATAATTAAAGGGAAAAATCTGAATTTAGTATATCGGTCTTTTTGACAAAGCGAAATGGTCTTGTGAACTACGTTACTAGGGAATTGTATTGACGTCACGTAAAAAATATATAATACGTTAGGGAATAAAAATAAAATAAAACTTAATGTGTTCGGTAAGCTCCCTAAATGATTATTTAAATTCCGCAGAGGTGGTCAGTTAGACAAACAACATCAAAAGTCTGCTTTAATTTTTTTTTTTGCAAAAGCAAGATCTTTTAAAATACGGAACTTATAAATAAATATTAATTTACATAATAAATTAAATTAAATTTGGAACACGGAAAGTGATGTGCTGTGTATTATTTTATTTTGTCAGATTAATTTTATTTATTCGACGAAAACAGGCATTTTGCAAAAAAAATTATCTGCAACAAATTTTACTGCATATCATAGACACACACGCGTATAATACACGAAAAGCATTAGTACTAAAGGATTACGTAGTCTCGTGTAAGAAAAACCTTAGTAACAGGCTTAATTTTGGTCCATGTTTTTTTTAATATTAAGTGCTTAATTTATTCACGAATAATTCTCATTTCATCACATAATCATAATTATCGATATTGTTTAAACTTACCAGAAGACGCATATTCTCCAGGATGCACCCAGCTACCTAGTAATAAAAAATACGGTACTTAGTACGGTTATGATTTTACAAATTTTCTTTTATTCATTAAATTAAAAAAATACATTGAGCAGTCATTAATTTAAGTATTTCATGAAGATATCTAATACGTCGTAATATATCGTGATGCGATTCACAAATGTTATAAGTTTGGTCGCTAACAGTTCAACACTACCGTGTTAAGTATAAGCTGCATTAGTCTAGCTATTCAAAGGGGGAACACTGCCAGTATCTTCGGAACCTTTCCTAAAGGGACTCCTTTTAATAATATATTTTAGTTATTATTATTATTGTTATTTTGTAAGGTTTTTAGTTTAGGTTCATTGTTATAAGGTTAACCGCATTAAAGTATGAGAAATTCTCAAATTTTCTTTTTTTATTTATTACGTGGATGAGTGAACAAGCTCTAGGGCCGCCTAGTGTTAACGGATTACCGTAGTCCATAAACATCAGTTGCACAACGTGAATGCCATCCACACACCTTGAGACATGAGGTCTCATGTGTATTGTACGAGATTTGAGGCAGACATAGATAAGGCAGCGGTATAAAACGTCAACTACTATCATTTTAAATTGCAAAAATAGTGAAACAAATGAGGACTTAGAAATGGCAGGGCCAACAGAAACACCAGTTATGTTCCTATGCTTCGTTTTGATTTTATTCACCAGCTCACATCCGTTACTCTATTATATGTTTAACAAGGCGAAAACAACGTGAGCCCAAACTATTACATAACATTTCAAAAGATTACCCGCTAACGATAGAACACGGTAATGTAACTTAGTTATGCAATAAGCGGTTTTCCACAGAAGTGGACCGGTCAAGTGGAAACAAAAACAAATGTGGGTGTTGTTTTACGATTCGAATGAATTAAACATCAAAACGGATACCGGTTCGACAAAATATTTTCAGCGTGCTGTTCGTTTGGGGAACGCTATCCGGTTTTAATTTTATTTTTATCGTGTACAGTATGAGATCATTAAAATGAAACAAATTACCAATTTAATATACATACTATAGTATAGTATACAAATAGTGAATTGTTAATCAGACATAACACTACGAGTATTGTAACGTCGTCGGTTAGTAAAAATTCAACGGCATTATACTTTGATTTTTATTATTTATTACAGGCAAGGTATTCGGAAGAAACCCAAGGGGCAGACGTGCAATAAACTGGTTGGACCAGATACGCCCTACTCTCAACCCTTCAGTCCTTGATGCCATCAATACAGCTGAGGATAGGCAGAGCTGACGCAGAATAATCCAGAAGAAAGTTATTAAAGGAGGCCACGACCCTCAGCACTGAGAATTATCGACGCAAGGAGAGAGAGATTATACTTTATTTTTCTTGAGAATAATTCGACGAAATTTACGTATTTTGACGTACTTTTGACCTTTTTAATATGCAAGTTTTTGTACAAAAAAAAAAGAAACCTCTTTACTTTTATCTTTTTATCTCTCCATGATGCAGATTTATAAATATCTCAACTCACCTGTGATGTCAGCACCTTCATCGCCTTGTGATTCGGCAATGCTCGCATCGGTGTCATGGAAAGCCAACTCCTGATACAAAGTGTTACCACTTCGTTTTTCGCTCTTAGTCTGAGATTTTCCGATGTTTGAATTCGGGAGAGCGACAGGCGACGTTGCCTTCAAAACAATTTATTACTTTCAATTTTTAAAAAATATGAAATTAAGTAAAAATCTTAACACTGAATCTCACTGAAAAAGCGATATTTATTAAAGTGGCTTGTTCATTAAATATAGATGCACTAGAATTGTTCCTGAACGAAAACAAAGATTCCGATACAATATGTCATGTTGCCTATGACGACTATGTACAAATTATTACTTAATACCTATATCATTTTATGTCACGAAAGGAGCTTAGTTAAGAAAATTCATTCCAATTCGTTATTATGGGCTCGTTTCCAAAATCAAAGCCCACTTTAGTATATAAATTGTTGGACTCTTGTTTCCGTGTGCGTAATTGGTACGGAATTTTTTTCTGTTCATTTATCTACTTATTTTTATTATGTATCTCAAATGATGATTATTAAATTATTAAACCGGTTTCATGACCTATTCATTTACTAATCAAGCAAAAACGTTTTATTAGGAAATAGATTGTCATCAAATGGAAAAAATAAATGAATGAAAAAAACTTTGACATTTCACTGACTTTTCTCAACAACGTTTTATTGCAATGAATTTTTCAATGTATTTCCAATTAACTACGTTATACCTAATAGTGTTAAGCTATAATAAGCCTGTGTCGTGTTTAAAGTGTTATCAATGCTCATCACTGACGGATCGTGGATGCTACAAGTACAACTTGAAACAGAACCATTTGAAAAACTGTGAAAATAACACGAAATCGCATCAAGCACCTGTCTGCCGATCATTGATGCAAATAAATTATTTCACTTTAGAGCAGGATCTCGTCGTGATTAGAGAATGCGCCTACATCTATAAACAGCCACTAGGGTGTGAACAATCCAAATTCAGCAACATACATTACTCGTTGGTGTGCGAGTGCAATGAAGACGGATGCAATAAAGGAAGCAATTTATCGGAAGAGCCTAAATTACTTCTTTTGATGTTCTTGTACAAGATGATGACATAATAACATTAATCCCTCGCAGAGAGGGACTGGAACAGAGATTGGATTTTGCAGCTGTTCGCTTAAAACACTCGCAACAATTCTGATCAATGCTGATATGTATAATACATATGTATATAAACATCATGGCAAAGCAAATTAACAAATTTCAAAAGATTGCGGACCTATGACGTTTCGTTAATGTATTTAAGTTACGTAGATAACAAAAACTTGAAACTATTCATGTTACTGTGATCATTCCATGAATTAAATTTGTTATTGGTTCTGCGTCATATTCTACTACTACTATAGTAGTTACTATAGTTTGCTGTAAGGCATCAACCCTCTTGCCAAATGTCACGCCAATTATTCGAAACCAAATTTTTTTTTATTGCTCTGATGGGTGGACGAGCTCACAGCCCACCTGGTGGTAAGTGGTTACTGGAGCCCATAGACATCCACAACGTAAATGCGCCACCCATCTTGAGATGTATAGATACAACGGCTGCCCCACCCTTCAAACCGAAACGCATTACCGCTTCACGGCAAAAGTAGGCAGGGTGGTGGTACCCACCCACTCTAACCGGCGCCATCTAAGCGGGCTTCGGACAGCCTGCCGACCGACAGGGCTGATGGTCGAGGCGCCGAAGACCGCCGGTTCGGCATCCCGAGGGGTAGGGTGATGGGAGAGATGTGCTCCGCACTAAGCGCTTCACTTTTTCACTCTCCCCCCTTTGCCTTTTCATGAGTTCTGTCTCATGCGAGGTTTGGACGTTGGTTGTTGAGCGACAGGAGGCTTTAGTCAGTTCGACCCTGACATACCCCGCCCGCCATCCCCAGTGAAGTGCGGAAGTCAGGCGACTTCACCTCCCAAAAAAAAAAAAAAGATTGGTGGTACCCACCCACGCAGACTCACAAGAGATCTTACCACCATTTCAGACCATTTAAAGAGCCCCTTAATAAGACCATTTTCACGACTAATTTACATTATGTATTCACAAATCCTCATACCGTCCGCGCGGAGCTGGTATAGCCATTTAGACTATCAGCAAATAGGTAGAGAAAAAATCGTCAAGAGTGTGTCGAATATTTTACTTCAGAATATATCTTGAATGATTTATTCTGATGACTTGGAACGGGGCGAGTTCATTCATAGGTGTTCGTTGCACCAATCCCGACGTTCAGTTCAGTCATCCCAACGTTACTATTATACTCGTATATGGTTCCAACGTGAAGAATTTCAGACATATTTAATGGAACTTCCTTTTTTATTATTATTATAACAGCATTACGTTGGATAAGCAGATGAGCGCGAGGCCCATCTGGAATTAAGCGGTTATTGGATACGGATTATAAGTACCGCAACCCACTCCAAGATATGAGGACGAAGTTTTAATCATATTATCCCCGCGTTCAATTATAATTGATTCCATGTTCAGAGCCGTAGAGTATCAGAACGTATTACCAATCACTAAAATATCTGTTTGTGCTTTTATTAAATAAATACATGTTCAAATCACAAAATACGGCCTATTATAATAACACATCACAATTTTGTTATCTGTTTATTTTATAACTCGCCAATGTGTCTCATCTGATAATCTAATTATAAACGTTTTATACATAATAGAAAATTTAGATTTAACAAAAAAAAAAATTGTCCTTATGCAGTATTTTTATACCAATTTTGGCACACGCTATGGTATTTGATTTTTATCAAGAAACTATAGGCCGCAAATTATTAAACTTTATCTAAAAATCGTTTTAAATTTGGAATGGCATCCCCTAAAACTCCGAGACATCTAGTTTCCTTTGAACATATTCCTAGCCATTGTGCAATTGTTAGAAATCAGTCATTTAGCTGAGATGTTGGTAATAGAAATTTATAACAAATTTAAAATATTTTGTAGAGAAACATGACATAGACGACATCACTTTAGTCATTTCTAACGTGTCCCCGAGTCAGTACGCGTGTGTACACGTGTGTGTATTCTCTATGACCTTCAAACGACCAATCGATACGTTCACTTATTGAAGAATTTGCTTTACTTCAAGAATTCTTGAAGGGAATCTCTTGCGGGCAGTAAATCCTTGATATGTAAATTTCTAACTGAATAATCGTTTTTATAATATTATTAGATCGAGACGTTTTTCGGTAACAGTTGCGTCAGGACCAGTAGAGAAATATCGTGAAGTGGCTAATTTATATAACAAAGGTTATTATTATGTGATCTCCTTGCCTAAGGAATCTATAAATGGAATTATCAATACTCGACGCGACATATAGCTATTATTACTCGCACATTTCAGTTTTATTATATGCATTATTCTTCTTTATCGTTCCCTCAATGCCGAGGATCATGTGGTATAGACTACCAACTACTACCAATTAGATACATATTTTAATATTTACATTTTTAAATCTATTATCTTGTATCCAGTAATCCCGTTATAAATTTGACGGGCATCGGTATCATTTTAACGCTTCACTTCAGAGGAGATAGCTGTACTATAATTTGACATCCAGATTTTTGTGACTGGTGTCTGCATTGTTGGTATTTTTACAAAATCATGAAGACATTATATTACTGTTTAAATTAATTTACCAACACAAATGTACAGTTGTGCAAATTTAGAAACGAACCAGAGTCGTGCAATCATGACTCATAAGTAAGTGACGTCATTAGAAGCATTGCAAATTCACAACTCGACGGATACATTTAAAAAAAAGTTTGCTCAACTCTATTCTGCTTCAGCAGAGTATATAATTTTTTTTAAATTATATACATAATAATATATATTTTTAAAACATAACTAGTCGTAAATCTCATAGCACAAAAGAAAATTCTAGCTTAATAAGCATTTTTAAGGAAAGTTTATTTATCAAAATTCATAAAAAATCATTGTCACATTACATAAACGGTAACAGTTCCACAAGCCTTTATCGAGTACATCAATAATAAAACGATATACAGATAGCATTTATTCACGAACGATTTATTTATTGATCCTCACCTGACTTTGTTGTGTTATGGCATCTGTCTGGTGAGCTCTTTCGACCGTCCTCACGGCCGCTAGTTCGGCTCCGATGGGCGGCGATGGCGGTGACGACGACAAGCTGACAGGACTACCAGGAATACTTTCGGTCTGTTCTATCGCGTTCATAGAACTTTCTAGAGATGCGAAACCAAACGATATCGGACCTGCGTTGGAAGAAATGCGCCGAATTAAAGAGCGAACGGTTAGCGTGGTATGGACATGTGATGCGAAGAGAGAAGATGCATGTGACTAGGAGATGTATGGAAATGGTAGTGCAAGGTAGAGGGGCGTGTGTGAATGACGATATAAGAGAAAGAGAGAGAGAGAGAGAGAGGAGTGAGTGTTGAGATGATAGAAGAGGCTGATAGAATGGAAGAGAAAAATTACCTGTGTCGACCCCACCTAGTGGTATAAAGTTAAAAAGATAAGAAATAAAAAAAAGAGTTTGAAGAAATGCGCTTAAAATTTTGCCGCGACAATATTTTACTTTACACCCGTCAAACATTTGCTAAAAAAATCTAAGCGCAAATTCTCTGCAATAAGAATTTACGCCACCTTAAGTTGAATGTTACACTTTGAATGTTATGAATGTTACAATATGGTTGTGTTTTGGATATTTAAAACTACAGATAGTAACAATCACGGCAATCTGTCTTACTCTGTATTTTATACAAATGTTGACAATATATAGAATACTTAAAACAACTAGAAATTGTGTAAACAATATGATTTAATTCAAATTTTATCTCTTCGTTGTATATAATTAAATTAATGGTTATACAGTTGGCCGATTATAAAAGAGATGTAGTCAGTTTTTAATTGGTCTTTTCTTTAACTAAAATAAACCATGGCATGCAATGGCGGGAACATGTTTTTACTTTTCTACCTTCATACATATACATATGCACGTGAATGTTTAAAATAAATATATTATTCAAGTTAAGTATTAAGTAAGTTTTTAAATTTAATATTTAATTCTTTCGTTCTTCCTGTTGTCTATATGCCGATGGCCAGAAGTATTACGAAACGACGAGAAATACACACGAAGAATCCTGAGTTTTGTGAAGCAACGCCTTTAACGAACATTTCATTGAAATTAAATAAACAGATACTGGTAGAAGCGCTTTGTTATTAAAACATGCTACTGAAGATCGTAAAGAATATTGTTTTATTGACTTCGCCTTGTTGATAAAAACAACTCGCATATAAACCTACTATACAATACACTAATTCGTTCAACTAAGCCGTTCATTTACAGCGAGTAGCATAGGTAGTTAGTTAGGTAAAGGCAAGCGAGAACCGGGGGGGTTATTATATAAATATAAATAAAAATCAATCGTATTTATGTAGTAGAAAGTCACTGAAATCGAGCGATTAATAATATTTATTAAATCGAGAAATGCTAACCATTAGATTTATATTTTATTTATATTATATTTCTATATTTCTAGTAATTCTTCCGAAGTTTCAATTGTATTGTCCAACGACTGCCCCACCTTCGGGATGCCTTAAGCCGAGCGGACATCGTTCTACAACCTAATCACAGTGACCCTACAACCTAATGGTGTAGGGCCTTAATGAAAGTTTTGAAGTCGTCGTGGCCTAAAGGATAAGACGTCCGGTGCATTCGTATGAAGCGATGCACCGGTGTTCGAATCCCGCAGGCGGGTACCAATTTTTCTAATGAAATACGTACTCAACAAATGTTCACGATTGACTTTCACGGTGAAGGAATAACATCGTGTAATAAAAATCAAACCCGCAAAATTATAATTTGCGTAATCACTGGTGGTNAGCGATGCACCGGTGTTCGAATCCCGCAGGCGGGTACCAATTTTTCTAATGAAATACGTACTCAACAAATGTTCACGATTGACTTTCACGGTGAAGGAATAACATCGTGTAATAAAAATCAAACCCGCAAAATTATAATTTGCGTAATCACTGGTGGTAGGACCTCTTGGGAGTCCGCACGGGTAGGTACCACCACCCCGCTTATTTCCGCCGTGAAGCAGTAATGCGTTTCGGTTCGAAGGGTGGGGTAGCTGTTGTAACTATACTGAGACCTTAGAACTTATATCTCGAGGTGGGTGGCGCATTTACGTTGTAGATGTTTATGGGCTCCAGTAACCACTTAACATCAGGTGGGCTGTGAGCTCGTCCATCCATCTAAGCAATAAAAAAAAAGTCAGACTATCGACAGTGTCAATAAATGACTTAAGATTTTTAAGCATTAATAATAAGCATAAGCACAACGGATCCACGAACTTGGGAAACCTAAATCACATTTCATTCGAAATAAAACAAAAGTAAATGACGTCTTAACTCTCTCGCTATAAATAAAATGGAAGTCACGTTGCTACTGTACTTTTCAGTTTACTGCATATTGTAATTTTGTTTAATACTCCTTTAATGTGGAATAATAATATTGTTGTTGTGTTGAAAAATATAAATATTAATTAATACCTTTTTAGTTTTAGAAGAGCCCTCTGAGTTTGTTTCGTCATTTTTTTTCAGATCGTGGCTCTTATTCGAGTCTATGATAATATTGATCCACATTTATAATTATGTTTTAGTTTCAATAAGAACAATGTTAAATGATATCCATATTTAAATAAGAAGCTTTTGGAATGAAGTTCCTTATCGCGCGTTGTGAAAGGGGGCTAGACGGAAAAAATTCTTACGAAAAGTTGTCACGACACTTTTTAGATCCGTCATTCTGACCAATCAACGTGTAGGCGCTTATCGCGTGACATTGCTCGTATCCGATTGGTCCGCGTAATGAGTACAGTTTCTCGAGATAGCGTTTCAACAATAGTAATTTAGTTCATAGTATTGTTTTTTTTTCTTCATAATGCCGTAATTTATTATTATAACTTAAAAAAAAATTACAATTCCTTCACTAATTAATCGAAAGGAACTTCGTTCCATCCGGGTGTCCCTTGACACCTCTGAAGTTTTTTTTATTTGAATTTCAGTAAAATTGAATCAATTTGTATGAGAATGTTCATTTATTTAATTATAAACTAATAGAGTAGATAAATTTTAATTGAATTATGCATAATATTTTTTGTGCAAGGGAAGGGCAATGTCACTACGTTGTAACAATCGCTAATTGTATGAAAATATAGATATTTCTCGAAACTACTAGCACCATAATTGTACGTTAATGGTAATATAACAAAAACTTCCAATAAGGAATGTCAATAATAAACGGTGCCAAGTTTCATCACAATCTGATGAATGGTTTACGAACGCATAGAGGACAAACATACAAAAATATATTACCCTAAAAAGATATAGAACAAATAAATATAAAATAAATAATAATATAATAAATATAAAATAAATAATAATATAATAAATATAAAATAAATAATAATATAATAAATATAAAATATAAATCCCATATAAATTTCAAATCCTAATTCAGACTCTTGGGGTAAAAATTAGAAGAACACCCGACAAACGTGTACATTCATTTCTGATCAGTAGCGATATCGTATATTCGTGCTTTTTGTTCTGAAAATGACGGACTTCCATACAAGCATTAATTTCCCTTATTGTATTACATTCGGGGTAAATCTCCAAAAACTCAATGGATTCTCACAAAATAAAGGCATCATGTGCTAAAAGTTTGTAGCCCCCATTAATAGTTTAGATTCCGCATTGATGAACTTATCATCAATAAGTCGAACAAGTAATAATAGTTTTTTCCTCGGTTTTCTCGAGTCGTTATTACAAATCGTAACATAATGAAATAGTCTTAATATTTAATATAGTACTTAAAGGACATGGGCCACTCTTCATACATTGCATGGCCCACTAAACGAAGCTCAAGGACAGTAATGAAATGAAGTTGAAATAATAGACTATATATCACTTTTATTATGAACAAATTAAAATCAACATTGTTCATGGGGATACAGAGATATTTAAAAAATAAGATGAGATTTTTAGGTTACCTATATCATATGATTTGCTGTCAATACACTTACACTTTAACATTATCATCACCTTAAATATTATGTATTTATATTACTATATTTTATGACACAGACCTAATTCAACGAACGCCAAGACAATTTTATGCACAACAAAATATAATAAGCAGCTTGTATATCGCAACGAAACACTTAATAATATCCAAAATGCGCGCGAGTGCGAAAACGACTTATCAAATGTAAAAACGTCAATAAACATTAAACAAGCGTAGTTTTGTTTTTGCTTAAGATCAATAATTATTGACCAATGTAATGATTTATTCTACGGATTTAAAAGTATAAAAATAGAGTTTTGTTTAGATATAATGTTTTATATTAGTTTTAAAATCCATTAATTAAATATGTTAATATATTTTGCTAGTTTTTTGCAATATAATGTTTTCAAGAAGATTTATTGTGAATTGTTTAAAATATAAATATATTTTACCTATGGCAACTCCTTCAATATTATCAATGTAGCTTAATCATGCTAATTTCTTTTTATTTATGATTTTAATTATCCCACCAATATAATACCCTTAAATTTTTAAGTATGTAAAATGAAATGTTTTTTTTCTATAGATATTTCATTAATGTCCTTGAGAGTACGAGTGGCTGGGCCGAAAATGGCCCCATGTCCTTTTACATATTATTAAATTTATAATATTTAAATTATTTCCCTATTCAATCTGGTAGCCCCAAGGGACTATCCCAGCTTCATCGGTTTGATAGGCGATCTCACAGCGCTTAGCGTGAGTGAACTTACTAACACTAACCTTAGCAAGAGCAGTACTTCGCTGAATCTACCACCAGATCGGAATCGTGACCCACTGAGAAGATCCGGTGAGAAAACCAGTCTGTTTTGTCTATTGGTTAGTCTTTACCCGTTCAACTCTTCGTATTCGACGAGTTCGACGACAACAATCACAACATTATAACTATTTAAATATTTTTTTATAATTATATAATAATTATATAAATTATTTAATTTATATTTCATTACGTATATTTAATAATTTATTTTATTTAATTATTTATTATTATAAAAGTAGTATTTTATTGTGTATTATTTTAAGTTAATTATTCGATTTTTATTTCATTATTATTCAGATACTATAGATTAAACTTTTGTGTTTAGAGTATAGATTTAGACTGAACTAAAGAATTATTGTTACTACTGCACATAAATCAATATTTGTTTTACGAGATATCTAAATAATTTAAAATATTTTTTTGTTGTGTTCAAAATATGAAAGTATCTACCAAGTTTTCTTTGGGGCTATTCATTAATTACGTAAGGGGCCTTAGAGTGGGTACAAGGAATCTTTATCTCAAGAGGGAGAAGAGCTAAACACTATTCTTATATGCGTAATATATTACAGGTCTAAATGTGCGGCTTTTGATGTAATGATGGACATTTCAACGTGAAGCGTTAGGTTAAAGCAACTCAACAACAGATGTGATGCTCAAAAACAAAATTTAAGAGTGCATTAATTTCCCTTAGATCATGAATATCTGAAGAATCTATCTACATGAAGAAAGAAGAAATCTATTCTAGATGAAAGAGTCTAGTTCATGCTAAATTTGGGCATCAATTATTAATACTTTGGACTTAATCACAACAGATCAATGTGGGTCACAGTGAATGGTTAATTTACAGTCCCCGTGCCACTCAATATTAGAACAATATTAAAAGTTAATGCCACTAACTATAAACTATTTTCTTTTTTACTCCATTAATGTCAAACTATTTAGGAAAACCAGATAAAACCTTTAAAAACATGGGGTAGAGGGAGTCTGAAAAATCTTGTCTTCTTTTCTAGGGGTAGGTTGAATAAAAGCAGCCAAAGTTGTCGTTACGTAATTTATAGAAAGCTTCTTATGGGTGGGTGGCTTCGAAAAAAACATTCCTAAGCATCTCACCATAACTTAATGTGAGTTCTGAGAAATTGAACTTAGTTTTTATTACCTAATAATTGGACTGACTCATTTAAATACATTACTTAGTGATAAACAAATATTTAGATTAACCCAGAATCTAGTGCAGTTGATAAGAATATATTCTTAATTGTTTTTGGCATGAACTGAACCTTTTTTTTTGTAATACTCTATATAATAATAAGTCATTAGTAATTGGTTTTTACTACTTTTAGGCTAAAATGTTATTGAATTAAACAGTCTTTTGGTATTAATCAAGTTCAAATTACTAATATATGAGGAATTTTTCATTTAATTAATAATTTTTGTATGATAATTCTAATTAGATATTTTCACTTAAACATACCACTAGACCTTCCAACAGGATTGAGTCCCAGTCGGCCTCGAACTTCGCTTCTATCACTTGCTGTGCTTAGAAGTAGCTTTGTTCTTTCCATATAGTCCATGTGAGTTTTAAATAGCTCGGTGTACCTTTCATGCAACTTTGCATATTCCTGTTTTATAATAAATAATATGAAATAAGTAATAATTGAAATAATTTCGTTGCTGGTTCAAGTTTTGTTTATATTTCTGGTCAGTTTCCAAAAAACCAGTAATAGTGCAGATTGAAAAATAGATAAATTTTATCAATGCTAACAAACTGGGAATTATTCTGTATTAATATATACTGAGTAATATTCTCTGAGTATTTAACACTGGAAGCTATTTAGCTATTTCAATTTTATATAAGATTCAGCAGTTACATAAATAAAATTGTCATTTAAAAATTAACATGGATAAATGGTAATCAAGCAGAATTCTTAATTATGCACCACTAAAGCATTTATTTGTTTAGGTTATGATATTACAAGTCTTATCACTATTTGCGAACAAATTATGACAATGACCCATCGCAGGTCATTCACTTGATATGTTACAGTCTAATTATGATACTCTTACATTGATTATTTTTTTAATTTTAGAATGTGCTTATCACCACGCATTTTTTAAATCACTATAACATTTTTTTAATCTCGCAGTTCTACAGATATTTTTGATGATGCAAATGATAGACGCATAATATTTAATTTTCATATTTACTGACAAACTAAGTAATGCAAGTTTTTCCCTTTAAGAATCCAAATGTTACAATTTTCTGTCAAACTTTATAGTGTTTTATATTGCATAACTTACTTTTTTCAATTCATTTTCTCTTTCTTCGAGTCTACTAGCATGATCCAAGGAGTTCTTGTGTTTAAGTTCTAACATTCTCACGATGCTATCCAGTGCTTCTAAACGGCCAGTCAAGTCTTTTCTTTCTCCTTCATAATGATCCTCAGCTTCCAGTAACTGAAGAAATATTGTGATGTGATTATTCTCATCAACTAATCAGTATGTTACTACATGATGATTTTAGCATAAAACAATTACTCAACTATATAAATGACTCTACATTATTAATCAGACTGCCCTCTGGGAAGTAAGAATTAAACTCTCATATCTCATTAGAATAACAGCTAGAAAGAATGGTTTAGGGAAGAATAACATATATATATCAAGTCCAATAAATATTTCTGGTTTTTATTTGGGATTTTAGCTCCATTATAGAATTTATATCGCAAACATTAATGATAATAAAACCTTAAGTCAATATAGTTGCTGCACTATATTAGATTTCTTTTTAACTACTTTCTTATTACCATTTTTTCCAAAACACGTTATAAGACAAAAAGAAATCAGGCTAAGCGCAGAGCACTACAAGTAAAATAATGTATTGTATAATGTAAAACACATTCATAAACAACTCACAATCAGAGCAACTGAGCAATAGCATTCAATTTAAATGCATTCCAAACAACAAAAACTTGAGTAATACTGTTGTTCTGCAACAGTGAAATGCAGCGCTTTGATTAAGAAACAGTAAATTAACAAGACATTAAATTATTCTATACTATTCATTATTACATTAATTTATAATTCACATTTTTTGTTGGGCAGTGTAAGAAAAAAACTTTTGCTTTGTTTATTTCTGATGCATGACAATCTATCAATAAATAGCAATTAATCATTATTCGAACTAAGATGCATGCTGTTCTAAATACTTATACATAATATATGTTACTGTGTTTTCACTATTAAAAATACAGCTTAAAACAATGATACTGACTATTTTTACAAAAAGACAGCCAAAGCGACATGCTCACCTTGGGATTCAGATAACAAAATGGATCACACATTTCTCACTTTTTTATTATTATTGCACAAAGTTGATGAAGAAATAATGTATAAAAAAATGTGTACAGCATATGGAGTTCAGTACAGTACTGAATGCAATCTAACAGCCTTGTAATACAAAACAAAAGAAAATCAAGGTCTACTTCCTTGCATTATTATTGGGATTTATACCTTCTGTTCAGCGTACTTCCTGGCTGCCTTCTCGCGTTCATACTGCGTAACTAACTGCTCGTTGTCTTCTCGCAATAGCTCTAGTTCCACCTCGTGCTCTTGATTCGTCTGATAGGCTGAATCCAAGCACTCTAATACATTCACTAGAAGTGGCATCAATGTTTTTACTACATCCTCATCGTATCGCGCTATCATACGTTCGAACTCTTGGTAGATACTTCCAGCAAGAGATTGTACCTTCTCTGACATAACTACGTGAGAATCTTCATGAGTTCCGTATATGGTCTCATTGGTAACATACCCGCTGCTCGCACTGTCGTCGAAATTCATTTTCGATGTTATTTATTAACTTTTGGTTCAAGGAAATTACGTCTGCCCCCACCGAGGCCGTCTAATGAATTTTACGTGAAAACATGATTTTAATTTGGTGAGCGATATTGTTGAATGACGCGATCGATTTTAGTAACTTCCAAATATTATTATAATTTGACGCTTAGACATTGCTTTTAGTGAAAATTAATATGCGTGTGATTATAAATACGCAAAAAGAAAAGAAGCAAAGATTACTGATTGCACACCATTTGTTTGATTGACGTATTTGCGGTGACTATTGAAAAAATTACTATTTCTCTGGGAAATGGTAACACAGAGTTGACAGAATTTCCTGTTGTGTGGCTGTGACTCATTTTAATGTAAATAAATTATTTTAGAAAACTCGTGCTTTTTTCGAAAATTTTTTTATTAAATCGAGCTATCAAATGCATTCTTAGTAATGGAATTTATTTTTTATAAAAACGTTAACAAGCGAAGTAAAAGACATGACATTCTTGAAGATTCGTTGATAATGTTTAGTAGGTAACGAATCGATATAGGTACCAATATCCCTATTAACTGTATTGTCTATGCTCCTTAACTTATAGTTTTGAATGCTGACCATAGAGTTTAATCTAATTTTTTAGATATCTTAGTGCCAGTAGCCCCGAGTGGCTATTCTGAGAGTTGTAGAGATAGCATCTGCCCTAATAAGAGCAGTGCTTAGCAGAGTCTGCCACTAGATCGGAGCCTCGACCCCTTGAAAAGATCCAGCGAGAAGCTCAGTGGGTGTTAAAAATGCTACTTAACTATTCTGGCATTAAGTAGGTGGGTTTTGTATGAATTTTAGCAGTCTAAAAGTCAACAATAGTTGAAAAGTGCTGATAACGAGCATCACACGAGGAGGGCAAATGTTTTGAAACTTTAAGTCACAGATTTTCATCAAGTGTTGGACTAACGAAACTAATTTTGCGTGATAGTATCTACCAAAATATTAAGGACGTATAACAATTCCAATCACTATCTCAAAGCATTCAGCATCTCTATTTTAACAACTTTAAAAGTTAATACTAATTCACATAAAAATAAGTAACATTCCTATCATATAACCTTCCAAAACATACAGACATAGATGCTATATTTACATTATTCATTTTAAAAGAAAATGAAAAGTTTTAGAGAAACTCATATTAACATTTAATTTTAAAACCATAAAAATATATCAAGCCATGTGTATTTGTAAAACTGATAACATTTTGGTTGGTTAATTTTTAACAGTAACAAACAGTGAAACAAAAGGGCGTTATGTATTATTGTAGCATTAGAATTATATTTTGACACCGAAAAACAATATTACTTTACTTGGCACGTTAAAGTGACATTTTGCGAAGAATCGAGTTTTACGCTTTAAAAAATAATATTCACGTTTTTCGGCGTTCAGAAAGCTGGAGTGTAGGCGATAAGTTGTGAATCTTGGTTAGGATCGAGATCCTAGTACACCCTAATATCGAAAAGGCAGTGGTGTTTCTTTGGTTTTTTTTTAATAAGAACAATTAATTTAAAATACACAATATATTTAAAAACACAATAATTGTCCACATTTTATGTCAACTCACTGTAGTAAACAATTTTGTAGGACTCCGTTTTCCATTAATTTAATGTTTATTGTTGATGAAGGCTCCACCTTAGTTTAGTGATTCGTTTTTTTTTTCTTCAAGAAATGCAATGTTAAAAACAATTCAACACTTTTAGAGAAATTTAATAAAAGACAGTTAAGTGCGCTTTTGATGGACTGATTTTTAGTACAACACTATTGTTTTGTGCACGTCAGATCAATTCATGTCACTGACGTCACTCCTAGTTTCTCTATGAGTTTCTTCTACAAACCATAGAAATCGAAGATTTTGAATTGTAGGATTGAAATTTTAAAGTAATATCTATACAATAATAATTATCATTAATTATTTCAATATATTTTTGTGGTACACGTAACATATATTCAACATTACTGTAAACTTTAGTGAAACAAGTTTTGAATTCGGATGACACGGTTTCAATACTACGTTCCACTTATTTAGAAGATAATATCTGTGAATATGAGTACTACCGCAGGCAAAAAGTCAATATTTTTGGCTTACATTTTTTGGTTATTTGGGGGGCCATTTGGAGTGCACCATTTCTATTTGAGAAGAGATAGACATGCATTTGTTTGGTGGACCACTCTTGGTGGCTTCGGTATAGGTTGGTTGGGTGAAGTATTTCGCATACCAAGGTATGTGAGAGATGCTAACGAGGATCCTAAATATGTGGAGGACCTTATTGGGAGAATGATACGGAACAAGAAGGTGAGCTAAGATTCAATGTGTCCTGAATCTGAAAGATCACGACACGGTGTATAAATAATGCTAAACTATAAAACTGAACTGTAAATACAGAATAAACTTGCAGTCGTTTCTTTAACAAAATGTCTAAATTAAATATTTTTAATAAAATCAAATTTAAACTGGACAAAAAACACACTTGAACACAAATTCAACCTAAGTGTTGGATAATGTTCACTTATAAAATTATTTCTGGTGAAATGAAAATAACATATGATTGTGATTAAACAAAATAAACTTTACATCTCTTTTATAATGAAAGTTCTATGTTTGTCTTATTTCAAATTTCTAACAACTTGGTCTATTTTCTATTTTAAGACTTCATCTACTCAGTGGGCCTCAATAATACAATATTTTTGTAAGTATATAACAAGGGTTGGAGTTTATGTTTGTTAATCATTAAATAACATGCTTTTGTTTAGTTGTAGTATATAACTTCTTAAATTTATGCTTTGCTTTCATAATATTGGTTACTTTTGAATTTTTTAGTTTAAGACATACACATGACATATAGACTATGATGTGCTTGTGGCCATAAACATTAAATTACACTAAAAACTTTAATAAAATACAGAACAATTGATGTTCTCCTTAATATGTTCAGTAACGGTCACATTTTCATCCAAAGTTATATTTCTCAGAACATAATAAAACTTAACAAAATGGCATATTAAACTACTAACGTAATTAATTGATATTTAAGTCATTAACATCATATTCCGTGAACAGGTAATGCAAATCAATAGCATTCCGTCAAAAACAAACTAAGAAATTATACACACAAACCCCTGATTTCGGAAACTTTTGCAAAACAACCTCATCATAATCTCAATTCAAATTAACTTAAAGCACACTAAGTTTTTCTCTCAAATAGTTTCATTCTTTTTTATCGGTAAACTGCTGGAAAAAAGTCATAAATTGATTTAGCTTTTTTATGTTTTATTTAGGTTTTTTTTTCAAAAATCTGTTTGTGTACTATAATAGATATCATTTTTGTATCGTTCTTCATTTGCAGTTTGTTTTCATAAATTTCATGCAAAAATATTAACTTTCAAGCATTTAATATGGGGTAATGGCAAAATCATCAAAATATAAAGCTTTCTCTACCCACACATCCACACATGATAATAAAAAGGTGGAAATCCTATATGGTTATAGGTTTATTATTTAATATTTTACCATTGTAATGAGGGAACTGTCTAATATATAAAATATTCATCTCATTTCTTGAAATTCATTAGAAAATGTTATGTATGTATCTCACTGTGTATTTTCAGATTTAGATAAAATAAAATCCACAAAATTGTTCTCAATCAAAACCTATAACTTATTAAATTATTTCAAAATTGATGTTATCAAATGTTAATCAGTGTTATTTTTGATGCAAAAACTATTTCCCTCTTGAAACTAGCGCTTATTTTAACTGAGCTGGTTCATCCCACTAATGCATATATCTTACTGCATTGTATTTCATTGTACTTATTTATATTACTACATTGTACAAATATTCTATAGAACAATAAATCAGATTAAAAACACAAATTAAATTTTGAAGTAGCTAGTTCTTATAATTTAGTTCATTATTATTTAAATTATATTTTGTTTAACTCTATTATCTATATTCATATTTTTAAAATTGAACGCTTTACCTACAGGCTGTTGTACCCATATGCTATTTACCTGTTCAACTCAATTTGATGTTTAAATAGTAGTTTGGTTAAATTCATTTTTATCAATAAGTACATAGCTACAATGAAATCTAAGATTTTAGAAAACTGCCCATTTATTTCAATGTACATAAAGTACAATACATAAAGTACAATACATAAAGTAGGGATAGAGAGGTTCTACTGTCTCGTTCATAATTAATTAAGTCCCCTGATAGATTGTTGGCAAATCAAGAGCTGTTAAGCCTCTAAAACTTCAAAGATTAAATTATAATAGTGTATTTATGTACCCTTTTTTCATACTTGATTAAATAAAAAATATATGTAAATTATTAAAGAACATTTATCCACAGCCACCATTCTCTATGAATCGTTTTACGGGAATGCTGATGGTTGGTTATTCCTGGGGTCAAATGATGATGGTAGCAGTGCCATCTGATGAAATATGGGGTATCAATTTTAGATATCTCAACTACCTCATTCCTTTGGTTGCTGCACTAGGTAAGTAAAGATAAGTTTTAAATCTATTTAAATACTGAAATTCATATGAGTTTCGACATTCGTCATTATTATTATGAAGCTAAAAGTTTTAATGATTGACTGAATTGAAGTTCTTCTGCACAGGTGTCTGGACAGTAGGCAACATTGGTCACGAGCAAGGAACCTTGAAGTGGCCTCTCTTAGCTGCATATGTGTCCTATCCTCTTCGCTACTTTATATATGATGAAACAGTATTTTTCACTATCATGGTGTTGTCTGCGGCATTAGCATTTGACTCCTTCTCAAAGCAGTGGCGCAGAACTCCAAGAAGGCATCGTTTTGTTAAGTATGTATATGTGAATTAAATATTAAAACATAGTTGTTTACTCCTCAACACGTTTGTCTCCATTGTATGAAAAGACTGTGAAAGAAATTTAAATAATGTCCTAGTTAAAAATTTAGTAAAAGTGTAATGGAACTTTCATTGAATTGGTAGATCTTGATTGTGATATAATTGTGCTTTTATTGTTAAGTCTCAGTTTTTACTCTAGGCTAACAAAAACCCTTTAAAAAGATCCATTAGTGCTTGCATGTTTTTTGGAATTAGCAAGCGAGTTGGGAAATCTGAATTTAGTCATTAAGTTTTGTAACAAGTTGTTAATTCCTCAGCTTTGTTGCATTTATGTGCAATTTTAGCAAGTTAAGTGTATACAATTTACAGGAGAGTGATTGTCCTCGGTGTGTGTGCTTGCCTTTACTTATCCCTATGGTGCAGCTACTTGTACTTCAATGGCACGATCACCGACAGTGAAGGCGACGAGGTTCCAATCTACGAAGCATTGCATCACTTCTTTACAAGTCCTTGGTGAGAAATTCAATTTCAACCAGATTGAGATCTTGTAAAATTTTGATGTGTTAATAACAATGCAAGATAACTTGCTAGATTTCTTATTTATGTGTATGCATATGTTTAGGTGGCTTGATGTGAAGCAGTGCCTTATTGATACATACCAGTATGCACAGCATCATGGCTGGTATGAAGTATGGAAACAAATTATTGATCTGTCTGATCCTCATGGTGAACAAAATGCATACAAGGTATGTTACGTTATCTATGCTTACTCCACAAAATCTTGAAACTCTTCAAAATTATTAATACTTTTTTTTCTGTTCATTTTATTACTTTCAGTACAATTGAGTTAAATATTGAATTTTCTGCTTTTATACTGTAATCAGTTTGAACTACATCTATCTAGGTCATATAGATTTAATTAGTTTTAGTAAAAACAACCTAAACACAGGAGAGAGAGTAATCTAAATGTAAACTTTAATGATAGCCATATAAAGTCTACATTTGCGAGGTGAACTTATTAATGCCGTTTATCTATTACAGGTGCTCGGGCTGGGCCCTGAAGCTACACAACAAGAGATAACATCTACTTGGCGAAGATTGTCCAGAGAGCATCATCCCGACAAAGTCAAGGATGAGAACGGACGCCGCGCTGCCCAAGAACGATTCATGGAAATACAACAAGCTTACGAGATCTTGTCCAATAGCAAGCACAGAAGAAATCGACGCAATAAGAAAGATAACTCGGAGTAATGAAGGTGAATGGAAACGTAAACCTCACATCTAAAAATAATATTAAATATAAAAATATATATTTGTGGGCCTCTTTGTTTGTTCGTATCTTAAATTGTTCGTTAATTCGATGCAAACGCGCATCGTTAATCAGATTGAGTTTAAATTTTGTAAAATGGTTGATGGATTGGGTGTGGAGATTTCTGGGATAGTTAAATTAAGATAAGTCAACAGCAAGATACTGTTTTATGCTCTGACATAATAAGCATAAAGTCGGATAGGTATTAATGATTTTGAACTATACAAAGTTAACCAATATAAATATAGTTTTTTGAAATCGACCTATAAATTATAGTCTTACCGAATTTATGCTTGTGATGTAGAAATATATCTCATATAGCTATAATTAACGCGAAGCGTAGCAATGCTACAGCAGTAAAATATATGTATATTAATTAACATTTTATTCGGCCAATGCGAAATTAATTCTCCTAATAGAATCTCTCAGCGTCTCCATTAGTGCGTTTTCGGCGTAATACGTTTAGGTTAACTCAAAACTCGTGTCACTCATTGGACAAAGGGTTGTGGAAGATTCTGTAATTGTTTAGTAAGTACATACTTGTGTTTTGTCTGTAAACGCGATTGTTCATTGTGCGTATCGTTACGTCATAATTTATGCTGAAAAGAAATCTCACACGTCTAGCTAGGTTATGATATTTTCTTTTTTTTAAATTTGTGTATTATAGTTGTTGACGAGCTGTCGCGAATATAGAATACGAAAAGTGTCATAAATTGAAAATCGCTGGATATGTAAAATAATTGGCTTAAAGGTCTGTTTACCAGGTCATAAATCTTTTATAAAAAATTTAAAATAATGTGATTGTGAACGTAATAATTATACTACCAAGTTTCGGATTAATGTCAAAACTAGATATTAGATGCATAAAATATCCTACCGAATCACGAATATTATATTGGCTGTAATGTGTTATGGATATGGGCCTAATTTCAATATTTCAAGTTCAATATTTAATTAAATAACTTATTGATCTAGGAACTATAGTCTAGGCGTTGTAGTCGCAAGAAATACTTCAAAAAAACTACACGAAGCCGTATAAAATGGGCTTTTAAATAAAGCAGTTCTAACATAAATGATACTGATATTATAAGTTAATTAAATGAGTAAAACGTTGAATTAAAATTAAAATACGTATAAACAATCATTAAAATTTGTAATTTTCTCTTCTGTAACCGTAATGTCATTTATTACGTTCTAGTATTTAAATTTCGAATTCGTATAACATGTCTTAACGTTAGAATCGATACAGTGATTTATATTTCACTCTTTAAATAAGTATATTAAGGAAAAATGAAGAATTATTCAACGAGTCTTATTATTTTGGGCTGGTGACGGTTCAGCTCCAGTATGGACATAAAAAAAATACAATTTTGGTACTTCGAAATTGGGTGGACACTAATTTGAACATGATACATAATTGAAACTGATTTTATTATTATCAAATTGAAATTTTGTATTTTAAAAGGAGTCTAAGCTATTATAGATATCTTGTATTTTCATATGATATTTAAGAAGTCATTATAATAATTGATAAAAAAATGTAGGTATTCAGTAGGATTTAGGCGTCGCGAACCCAAGACAAAAATTACATACGAATTCTTAAAAAACACGCACAGAAACGAGATCTGAAATTCATATAATTTATTCCAAATTTAAAACGGTAATTCTACCGTATGGACCTACTGCTTCCCAATAGAACTCCACTTGGAAGACTTATTTTATTTGACTGTGTATTGTTTAATCTAGTTTTATTCATATGTAAGGTAGCGGTCATTTGTACTTGAGTAATTATAATCATACGATTTTTTATGCCGGTTAATGCGTGACTGTATAAATGAGAATGCGACGTGGATTTACAGTGAATTAGAAAAGGAAACAGTCATTAGCAATTAAGCGAATGATAAGAACAGTGTAAATGGCTTAATGTCGCGTAGAGTTTAATATGTCCGAAGTTTAACAATACGTTCGACAAAGTGAAAGGTATTCGCCGATTTTAAACACCTTTTATAAACACCATTAGAAAATTGGATACGAACTTAGAAATTACTTTTTCAAATATTTTTTATTAATTTAGCTTAGGTATCGCATAAACCAGCGTAGCTACTGCTGGTCGAACTATTGTGAGTTTCTAGATGGTATCAGAAATTCAGCATCTTCCCCCAATAATAAAAATCCAGACTTCAACATTGCAAGTTTTGATTTGATTCTTATGCATAAGTATCAAGATTACTATTTTTGAGTCAAATTTTTTTGCATTATCGATTTAAAAACGTAGTCGACGTATATATGTAGATATGCTTTACATTTCCTGTTGCCTAGTTGAAAAGTATATCCTGTCACACATTAACTGAGATATTATTTAATATATGTATACTATTTGAAATGTTTCTAGAAATCGTAAATGCGTATAATAAAAAAAATATATATGCAGGTAATTCCTGCCAATTCATTCGTGCTCATCGAATTTATTGACGAAAGTGCTATAAATCTCTCGGGAACACGTCAGGGTATTAAATATTTTAACATAAATCCATTATCTCGATATATCTAGATGGTTAAAAATTTATGTTTTATATTTTTCTACAATGCGTTCCTCTCTTCACTATCATTCCCTCACTGCTGAGGATCGCGATCACATGTGATCTTGCTCCATAGTTTTCGGTCGTGGGTGGCATGAACCGCGTGTTATACCACCAACCGCTTTTTTAATTAGATTACGTTCTTATACCACCTGATTGATTATATTGGTACTTTAGGGAAGGTTGCTGTCATGACACCATTAACGTGGGATAGGTGGTGTGCGAGCGATTTCAATAAGTCTTTGATTCGAATATTTGCGTTAAGTAACAGGGCGGTGTAATCGGATTTCATTCATGGATGATAAAATTAAAAACCCACTTAAATTAATTGAAAAGGGAAAGAGAAAAAGTTTAAATATGTATATTATGTATCGATCCGTTGTCTTTATAGCGATCAATCTCTATCTGAAGAAGAGCTTACTCGAATAAATTTATTTTACTCATAATTCTTATATAGTTAAAGTGGATTTAAAAATTGTTATTGTAGTAAAAAATATAAAAGCTAACCCATTTAGTTGTCTGTATAATACAACAAGTCCGTGTTCTGAATCTGGATAAAAGTATAAAAGAGAAATGCGATTAATGAAGGATAACCACCGCTTAATTTTTTTAATTCAATTAGAACTTTCATTGGGTCTAATGTTTCACAGAAGTACACAGTGAAATAACTGTTCTAAATGTTATAGTGTAGCACCATTCTATAAGAAAAAATATGCGAATCCCTCAAAACGACTATTTTATTTTTTATGTTTTTTGAGAGGTCTTGCAATGCATTTAAAACACCAAATTTGTATTTATTTTAGTTGTAAATTACAAATTACTGTTTTATTTTTTGTCCAATTTTATAAATTTGTAATAATTTATTTAAATTGCTAATTAGGTATTTTCTCTTAAATCAATTTTTATTGTTTAATTATTTAATCGAATAGTTATAATTTATATTATTTGCTCATTGTGTCCGTCCTATGTTTTTAATTTTTGTATATTTTGTATGTTTATTAAAGAAGTTAATTAAAATGTATTTATTGTATCATTTTTGTTCCTATACTGCTGAGCGAGGTGAAGTAACTTGTTTCACGACACAGCCGCTTCCATTGACACGTTATCAGAACCTGACCACACCTGATGGAAACTGCTCATTCTCACCTGTAGACACCACAGCTGGATACCCCACCCAACTTCGACTCGAGGTTAAGGTCTCGATAATAGGTATCGTTTAAAATTATTATCAAAATTAGTTAGAATAGAATAGCCTCACTCATGAAACTCTGCATCACCAATAAATATTCAGATAAATCTTTGATATACCTACAGTAAATAATACATTACTATGTATGATTACAATTTCTAAAAGTCAATAAAGATTTTAGTTATACAATTTAATTATATATACATTATTTCCTATTTAAAATAATATCAATTTCATGGCAGAAATATTGCGTCCCCGGAAAGAGGCTTTGCAAAAGCAATGTTATATTCAGTTACGATTTAATTAGTTTCAGAATAACCGATATACCTACGAATGCAATTGGGCCTCAAATGACATATTTTGTATGAATGCATAAACACGCTATTATTCGCTTCCCTTGGAATGTAACTGTTTCTTTAAATTCGCTTTCTGCCTTGACCTTTGTAACTAGATATCTCGAATTCGAGTTCAATCCATCAATTTGTCTCAGAGGACTAATCACAGAAGCGTGTATTTTTGAAGTCGTCGCGGCCTAAAAGATAAGACGTCCGGTACATTCGTATGTAGTGATGCAACTATGTTCGAATCCCGCAGCCGGGTAACATTTTTTCTAATGAAATATGTACTTAACATATGTTCACGATTGACTTACACGGTGAAGGAATAACATCGTGTAGTAAAAATCAAACCCGCAAAATTATAATTTGCGTAATTAATGGTAGTAGGATCTTTTCTGAGTACGCACGGGTAGGTACCACCACCGTTCCTATTTCCTGCCCTGAAGCAGTAATCGTTTCGGTTTGAAGGGTGGGGCAGCCGTTCTAACTATACTGTGACCTTAGAATTGAATTTGAGATACTCTCAAACTGGTTGGTAGCATTTACGTTATAGATGTCTATGGGCTCCGGAAACCACTAAACACCAGGTGGGCTGAGAGCTCGTCCACCCATCTATACAAAAAAAACCTTCACTTTCTTAGTATTAGAAGAGTTTTAATGTTGGTTCTGAACTCTTAGGTCAGTAGACTTTCAATATACAGCTCGCGTGGGCATTTATCACGAGATATATGACATCAGCCCGTCGTAGTCGAAGTGTAATCAACTTTTATAGAACCTTATTATAAGTTACAACTCGCCTGATCCAGCTTTACGTATAGGCAATGTACCCTACATTGTCTCGAATATGTTCGAGAACTATAGTAAGAATTACAGTCTTGCGTGGCACACGTCAGTATACCAAGCGAGGACATACGCAACCAATGCTTATGCTGTTAAAAGGTTGGAGAAATAAGATTAGAACTGTCCACAATATCGGCGACTGCTAAGCCGCTTTCAAAGAACTGATGGCCTATAAGTTTAAATAATGGAATATATTCTTGCCTTAAACAAGTTGGATATGTGGAATAGCCTCAATTTACTGGAGACTTCGAGAGCATCTCTGGGAGATAGGATAGGTAGGAGAAAATTATCTGAATACTACTTCCAAATTCTGCACGGAGGAAGTATAAACCATGCATCACACAGTGTGCATGCGACGGCCTAGCAAGGACCCGAATGGATATCTCGGGAAACGGCTACCGAAATCATGATGTCTATAAGATTTCGTAAATTCTCGGGATCCTCTAAAAAGTCCACTGAAAAAATCTCAGTAAATGACGACCATTTACTGAGATTATATTTCATCCCATATCATATCATCTCATTTCATTTAATTTCATCTCAATTGATCAATGTCTCAAATTAATCATCTTCATTTCATTTTACTCCATATTATCATAAAAATAAGAATATAATTGAAATAAGATTTGCCCTAAAGATCTTAGTTAACAGGTCATAAAATCCTTTTTAAAAAAAATAACGAAAAAAAAACAGATTTGTTGAGTACCTACATGTATATAACATGTATTCAACAAACCTGTTTTTTTTTTCGTATCTTCTTGGAAGGAATCTTGATATAATATAGTTCATAGATACGTATAATAAGCTTTATGACTTGTTCTTCTTCAAACGAGTTGCGAGGAGAGCTTTCAGAGGTAGGCAGCTGCTTGGCTGTACTTTTTTTTGGCTGACCACTTCTCATTACGTGCGCCATATGCTCGTCTGACTATCGTAGCAACAATGCTCACTTTAAGAGGTCAATAAAAATGAAAACATTTATAGTATAGAATCACTAATGCCAGAACAGGGTTTAAAACGCAAATAAAACAAGACTAATTTACTTTTCTCCATTTATTAAGGTACACGATACCTATAATTTATCTACACAGAAAACAATGTTAGCCATGTAAAAAATCTTAATTTAATATTCAATATTTCATACCACAAAACGCAACATGGAATGGATCATTCAACGTGTTTTTAAGAATATTTAACGTTATGACGTTAAAACTATATTATGTACCCAATAAAAGTAATTAATATTATATTTCGAAAGGTTTTACTATACTAGAAAAGTAGTCGAATTAAGAACACGTTGAACGAAATTACAACGATGAATAAAAAAAAAATGTTTATCTATTTAATGGCACACTTAAATTTAGAACAAAAATAGCTATTCGATTAGAATTTATAATGTATTTAAATATAACCTCGTTGAATTTCACGTTACGACATAACAATTTCTACAAATCGACCTGCGTTTTATATTATAATTCGAATTTATCACAACGTTAAGTACTAGAATGTGATGTGTATGAAAGAACGAGGCTTAACTAAACTAAAAAACAGCTGATTGTGTTCACTAAAGTTGCTGTGAACACTTAATATATACATATATTTTATTTACAAACATAATCGGTATTTACATGTTACATGGCAAACGAGGACTTAAATCAAATACACGACTAAAACTATGTTTAAATTGCATTAGCATGGAAATAATTTGAGCTCGTTTTGTGCTTCGAAATTGTATTTCCGATAAATCAATGTCATTTTATCTTTGCTATATAATATACACTTACGAAAAGTAAACTAGGCTTAGTAGCGGCTCACGGCAATATTCAGTGACTCGATTATTATTATACATTTTGAACTTGCAAGGCAAGACTTAGTGCTCTTATATTTATTATGGAATTAATTTTAATGGAATTAGTCGCTTCTCTTACAGTAAAATTGTTTACGAGAAAACGCATATCTTTGTTCCACTATGAAGGTATTATGGAATGTAAAAACAAAATAATAACAGTAAGACCCAGCTTGATGCTGTTTCGTTTAGCGCTTTTTCGGTTTAACGCTATTTTATCTAAATTGTGGGATTCCTCGAAATTGCACGCAGCGTGAGGCTTTCCGATATTCGAAGCTATTTATCTGTGTTTCTTCTTTCCTGTGGTGTTATTGGAACGTATTTTTATCGTATCAAACATTTCTTGACGTTATTGTAAGTATAAATTTATACAATATGACAATTGATATACTAACAAATATTATGATTTGAAGTTTTTATGTTGGGTAATAATTAAATGCGAAGATAAAGCAACAAGAAAAAGAATTTCACCAGAAACTAAGATGCAATGGATTAAAAGATTAGATACTGGTCAACGTCAATCGGAGATTTGGAAACTTCAACAATAAACAATATTCTTAAGGCAGAAAATTGGAAATACTGAAGAGAAGAATGGCCTGAAATGGAAAGATACTTAGAATTTTGTTTATATATTTATATATAGTATATTCGTTTATTATGTTTCTATATTTGTAAGAAATACATTTTTGTTTTACTGTTATAAAATACATAATCTATAAACTGAATGGTAAAATATTTGACCATAAAGACGATTAGGAACCCGTCTTTCCTAACTTTACATTATTTGCATGACGAGAAAATCTCGTATAACGCTGTATAATATTACGCTATATCTAGCTAAAGAATAAGCTAAGCGGGGTCTTACTGTAATTCTAAACATTTTGCAATGTTACAGTAAACTCAAAAAAAAATCAGTACTTTAATACGCTGTATTTTTATTTGCATTTTTCTATCTATCTGTATTCATTTATGTAAAGTGCAAAATGCTTATTCACATAATTTTCAGACAGTGGACATAATAAAAAAAAATCACTGGTCCGCAATGTATCGAAATTAAACTAATTATCACAGTTTTAAAATAAAAATAATGCTCTTTAAGCTAAACAAATAGCATCCGAGAGAACTAAACATAGCCATTCTTAAACTAAATTAATAAATAACTTAAATCTTTTGTTAGGTGTACAAAACACACTATAGAAATTATATATATTTTTTACAAATCATAAAGTTTTAACAGTATCTTTACAAAAAAAATATTAATGATTATAAACAAATTAACAAATTGGTTTTCCTATGTTAGTATAAATTCTCTTTAGACTACGATCGATCCAACACTAGCCATCGTCCAATGGCACGGGATTTGCGCGCGCGCTCTTGCCCATAAACAATTGAGATAAGAGAAATTACAATACTCTGCTAGACGCTAGACAGATGCGACGCGCACAATTAAATGTTATAATAATTATCAAATCCACACAACTCATATTTAAACCCAGATGATCATAGCAACGGTGGTAACATTCCTGGTCGGAGATGGTGTAGTACAGATTAATTGCAAATGGATCGTGTGCTGTGTAATTGCATTCAGACGGTCGTTTCATTCCGTCGTAGAGGTTGGAGCTCTCGTTGCAGATCATTGTAGTACTCGTGGTCTGACATGGACTCCTCCTCTACAGAACGCTGCGGCATATAATTGCTAGTACCTGGACGAGGTGTGGTATCGGCGCTTTCTTCGCTCGCGGACAGTGACTCCAGTGGAACTGGTTCGGTCGGGATACCCAACGTCTGAGGCGGTACGCTTTCTTCTGACATTAAGTATTCAGGGTTGTCGATGCAACGTTTAGAACTCACGAATTCCCCGAAACGGATGTCGTTAACGTCTTGTCCTTCGCAGCCTTCGCTGATCAGATCCATATACGTCGAAGCGTTCTGAGTATGTTGTGGGGAAGGCATCAAGTAGTCATCTTCGTCCAACGGTAAGTTCAGTTTTAAATTACCGACTTGAGCTTCTTTTGCCTTGGACATGCCGTCGAAGTTATCTTCCAAAGATACTTCGGTTCTCGTTTTCATAGGATCGCTGCAATATCTCGAACTCGAAGTGTCAGACGCGCATACGCCGTTATTATAGTAATGACGTACTTCTGAGCCATCGGGATTCAGTTGATTGTTGTATCGCAACATTTCGTGATCCCAATTTTCAGGCTTAGTAGATGGGTCGGGGACCCCGTCTTGACCAGCATTATTAGGCCACGAAGAAGATGTACAGGGTTTCAGTGAGCTGGTTTGGGTTTCCATGCCCGCACTGAGAGCGGAGTTGGTCGTCACTGTACCTGTCATACTTTTGAATTTAGGTTGTAGATATTCGTCGGCATCAACTAGTGATTCTGGACCTTCCATAGCCGATGACAAATTTCTTATCATTTCCTTTTCATCCTGAAACATTTTAATTTACAATTAGAAAACTAAACTAATAATATTCGTTGAAATAAAGCACTTTAAACGAAGAATATATCAACTACCTGTGTCGAGTAGGATGGAAGGCGCATAAACTTGTCTCCAGGAATAACAAGATATCTACCAGGGTCTCTCGCCATTTCAGCGAATGTATCAGCTAGTTGTTTGAAGGTCGGTCTGCTATCCGCATCTAACATCCAACATGATACCATAACACAATAAATGTCCAACGTGCAAATACTCGGTTGCGGTAATTTCAATCCATTTTCAATTAGTTCGGGTACATTTCGTGCTGAGATATTCTCGTAAGGTCGGGCGCCATAACTGAGAATCTCCCAAATTGTAACACCAAAAGCCCAAACATCACTTTTGTGGGTGAAAATTCTATGTTGTATACATTCTAGTGCCAACCATTTTATTGGCATTTTACCTCCAGCTGCTTTGTACTCGTCTTCATTTATATCTAATAGCTTGGCTAGTCCAAAATCAGTTATTTTAACTGAGTTGGGAGTTTGTACTAAAACATTACGGGCTGCCAAATCCCTGTGCACTAATCTTTTTTCTTCTAAGTATGCCATTCCTCTAGCTATTTGTGTGCACCAGTTAAGGAATGCTTTCGATCCTATTTTCTCTTTATGTGTTCTCACATAGTCAACTAAGCACCCCAACGGCATTAACTGAGTGATGAGCATCATTTGATTGGTCATGCATACAGCTAGAAGTTGTAATAGGTTTGGATGTTCGACGCTAGCCATTATGTAAGCTTCTTCTAAAAATTCTTTACTAGTGTTCGCACCTGTTGTCTCTTTTAGCACTTTTATAGCGACAGGTATTTTAACGTTTTCTCCCTCAGGAACCCATACGCCCTTGTATACTTTTCCAAAAGCACCAAATCCTAACATACCACCCCTGCGAAGCTCAGCTTCCTTTACTATTCTTAATTTGGCAAGATTTGGTTTGACGTTAGTTGGACGCAGTGGTTCGTTGTCTTCACACCCTGTCAACACCATCGTCATTTTGACAGCTTCTTTCTTTGCTTTTGCTTTTTGACGGAAATTATATCCAATTATGGCAAGAACCGCCAAGAACAAGGAAGCTATGACCAGAATTATAACTAAAACTGTTGATGTTCTTGCAGTTGCGGTTGGGATATCATTGGCGTGTTCAGAACAATACGGCTCTTCGATTGGGTCTTGTAATTGTTCATCAAAATATATTTTATTAGGAATATTATCTGGACATGTATCAGTGCAGTTGAATGGAGCGTTTTCGTCGCTCGCATCAGAACCACCCAAGAATATCTTTAGATTTTTACATTTGATGCAATCTGTGGGACCAGGTCCAGTACAGCCTTTACATTCTGAGTGACAAGGTGTACAATTTCTGCCGATTTCATCAGTGAAATGATCTGATGGACACTCATCCTCACATTGATCCCCTCTTTTGAAACCGTTACATACTTGACATACTTGTTCATGGATTCCAAATCCTACACATTTAATACATAGGGGATGGCATTTTCTGCACGCTATTTTCACTTTTCCTTCTAAAGGTTTAACGTTACCGACCCACTCGTTATAATACCCGTCTGGACACGGTTCGTCTTCCTTGAGACAGCTTTCAACTGTGGCTTCAACACTTATTATAGCTTTATTGCAGGAATTACATCCGCCTTCTCCGACAGTGTTCGCAGGACCCGTGCAACCATTATTGCAATTAGGATGACATGGGTGACACGTTCCATTTTCTGAGGCATATCTTGATTCAGGACACTGGGCAACACAGTAAGGGCCATCTCGGACATGCTTACAGGAGGTGCAGTTCGCCCGACTTGCTCCAGTGCATCCGTCAAGGCACTCCGAGTGACATTGCTTACAGCTTTTGTGGTCAGCCTTGTACAATCTGGAACAGTAATGAAATTCAGCATAAATAACATAAATTACAATTTAATACACCAAGATAGATTTGGTGTATTAAACAAACAATGAGGTCACCATCGTTAGGACATCGAACCGTTAGGAGAATGCTACCCACACGTCAGCTACTAGGTTTTGTTATGGTAATAAGACCGCTAGATGCTGGTAACTGTCGTTGTAGATTATGATAATTAAGTGTGTGTTTGTGTGTTTAATATTATAATTAATAATTGAAATGAAGAAACCGAAAGTATATGTTGTTCTTTTGAAAATTCGCTGTGCAGTATCAATTTCGATGCCACTATAAGTGCGTAAATAGAAGTAATACCCACCCTGGATGAACGCTGCAGTTATCGATACAGATTTCGCCGAAATTGTAGTTTTGACAGGAGAGGCACTGATCAGGCCCCGGGCCCCAGCACCCATCCGCAGAGCATTGTGGATCACATACCAAATTGTTTTTTTCTGTAGAATAAAATGATGTTAAGAAAACATAAGAGTTTATTCATGATATTTTGACAATATATTCAGACCCAGTGCACTATTCACAAAGCTAAGAATAAAAATCTCTTAAGTTTGAAATTTTCTATAACCCATAGAACATAGCACTGGACCTATGTGAGCATATCAGTGTGTGCATTTGCTGTTAGTAAATTAGTGTGTTTGGGTTTTTTAATGTGTAAATGATCGCATTAAAACACAATACGCAGAGCTAGAAAGGTAAGTTGGTAAATTCGCTAATGCAATGCAATTACACTAACTATTATAATATATTTTTTCTAATGAGGATCCCCATACTAAATTATACGCAGAGCAAACTTACCACACTGTCTTGGATCGCCGTTCTTCTGTATGATCTGTTTATGGTCCTTAGATTTCACAAGTTTATTCCATGCTATTTTGTCAGCGTAACAAAGATTTCTGTTTTCCATTATGGCTATTGCACCTGAGTTAACTTTCTTCAAGGATTTTAATCCGAGAGACTTCAAAGATGTTTTGACTATGTAGAGAGATGCAAATAGGTTTTCAACGACTTGGCGTCCTCCTATTACTTCTAGGTTCCGGAAGTAAGATAGACTTGTGAAATTCGGATGATGTGCTTGAACATTTAGATAGCCGGTGACTTCGCGAACAGTGCTGAATACTTCTAAAGCATCTGGTTCCATTTTTGGATATCGTTCACCAAAAGAATAGTCCTGATTCACTTGCTGGAATCCAGTAAATGTCATTTCCAAAATTTCAATAGAACCATCTATTATAGTACAGTCTTTAAAGGAATCAATGTTTCCGGAATGAATTGGTTTTTCAGCTCGACAAGTCTTGGGACAAGTACCAACGCAAGGTATACATTCTCCATTCACGGCAGTTTTATTCGGAGGGCAGCTTCGAACACAAGCGCCGTTATCTTTTAAGAGATGCTCAGGGCAATTCCTTACACATGTCGCACCGTATGCATATTTTCCATTGGGGTTAGGCTCCCACGAATAAGTGGTGGGATTGTATATTTGCATTGAAGGGCATTCTTGTGAGCATGTTCCTTCATCGTAAAAGTTTCGGCAAGCTAGACATTGAGTGGGCAATGGGCCGGTGCATCCACCTGCACAGAACGTATTACAACAGTCTCTCGGATTGGGTCCAAAGCAGCGTCCCTGCGCACACTGTGGACTGCAAATTGTTTTAGAGAATTTCTGGCAATTTTCAATACCTTCTCCCCAGCAGCCCATCTTGCAGGCTGGGTGACAACGCGGGCATTCCCTTTCCCGAGTGGCAAAATTATAAACGTAAACGTAACTTGCGTTAGGTCCTGATATTATTTCGTCCCAATTAATAGTTTTGACGTGGCAAAGATTAAAGTTACTATATATACCCACGCTTCCTTGGAGTACATCTCGTAGAGCCGGTAACTCCAGGGTGAAAGCCGTGGACATAGTAACCAAGAGTGCGAATTCTTCTTCTCTCACGTTCAATTTGAAAAGAGTCCGCCCACGAATTATTTGCAGCTGGGGCAGGACGATTTTGTGAACTTTCACATGCGATATTAGGACGTAACCTGTCACCTCTCGTATGTACTTCAGGAACGACAAATCCATTGACTCGTTCTCCAGCCATGTCAGCTCGAGGTTCCCGTCTACGTAGGTACAGTTGGTGAAGCGATCGCGAAGATTCCGGTAGTGGGTGTCGCGATTCGACGGGACTGACATTCGACCGTTCGTTCCGATGCATACTGAAAATCAAACAAAATCAATGTTAGAACGATGAAAATCTTTATGTCCTAATTGAATATTAGTCAATCATACAAAAACAAAAACATTTGTATTAGGTCGATGTTCGACAAGTTAGGAACAGAGAACGTCTAACGAAGAGGCGGCGCCGTGTGGGCGGACTCTTAAAGCCAGTTTCTTCCACTACGCTACAAGTAACACCGCTAGCAATGTGAACGCTTTGGTTCTAATACAATGCCGTCTTAATATTAAGACGATACTAGCTTTACGTTTTATAACAAGCATGTTAACAGTCACTAAACTGGTCAACTATTTCAACGATTTGAACGTGTGACGTGTAAATTTACCGTTGCTTGATTATTTTAACAACTGCAATAAAGGGCCCGGGTTTTACTATTGAAACATCAGCCGAATGTTAGCGTGTTCACTGTTTTCAAAACAAATTAAGGATAAAGATGGCTTCAACTGCTTGTTTTCTTTTTTGTCATGAACTTTATAACAAAACTTGAAATGTTAACATTACTAGTATTTAGATAATTGTAAATATCAATTCTAAATAAGGAATCGATTGTAGAATGATGTCACGTGTGATATGAATCATAAAGGTAGTTTTAGTAGAGTCGATACTAGATATACAATATTTAGGTACATATTATATATTTATCACACATACGTCTTTACTTAGATTGTTGAGTCCAAAATATTTCTTACTAGGTAGTTCAAACAGAAATTGGATTTGTCTAATTAAAGTTACAATCTGAAAATATGTTAGTAAATAATTGTAATACATATATAAAAATCCAAATTTTCGAAAACTTTTTTCTTCTTACGATAATTAGGTAAAACTTCATGATAAAAGGGATATATTTTCGATCTGCCACAAGTACCTATACCGGAACGATAACGTTTCAGACCTCATACGTAAGTAGTGTAATCCTTCCAGTAGACAATGACTTTAATATAAATTTCATCTAGTAAAAAATCCTCATCAAATGTATGCAATGAATTGGAACACGGTACCATTTTTTAATATCCTAAACCAATAATAATTTGTTCATTTTAAGTTAGTCCATATTATTATGTTAGTGTATTTCTTTAATTAACTTTTTACATGATAATACCACTAGCAGTGATATACAATCATCCATTATACTGAACAGTTAATTCGTGTGGCTTTCTTAAATCAGTAGTTTTGTTTCTATGATAATGTTTATATGTAGTTTATATATGATTGACAAAATGCTGTATTTTACGTCGTATATTGAATACGTAGAATTTTTTTTTTTTTTTTATTACTTTCGATAGGCAGACGAGCTTACGGCTCATCTGATGGGAAATGATAACCGTCGCCCATAGACATCCAAACTACATCAGTGACTCAGATGCGCTCCCTATCCTGGCCTGGATGGGCAGCCTTATGTATGTTACACCGGCTATCCTGTCCTTCAGACCGGAACACAGTATTACTGTTTTGCGGCAGAAATAGACAGGACGGTGGTACCAACCCGGGCGGGCTTCTACACAGAACCAGTGAAGTGAATAGTTCGTTGTTTCCTACGATATTATAAAGCATAAGCGAAGGAATAACGTTTTATTTTTTATGATCAACATTAATTTAATCAAAGATTTAATAAACGATGACTAGAAACATCGTGCTTTTATTAAGTTCGTAATTTGGTTCGTGATTTTTTTGAACATGTATTCCATCTTCCTAGTCGTACACTCTTGACAGAGTGGTCGTGGTCATGCATCAGTCGGATCCTGCAATACCGATGCTCTCACGATGCGACGCCATGTGGCACGGTGTTTCGCAGAGCGAGTGTAATCATTTATTTTGCAGTGAGCCAGACAGACATATTTTATGAGGTCGGTCCATCGTGTTGGAGATCGTCCGCGAGATCTTTTGCCCTCGACTTTGCCTTGTACCCCCAACCGCTCAATGGAGTCTTTATTACGAGTGATGTGCCCAAAGAACTTGAGGATTCGTATTTCATTATTTTGCGAAATGACAAATCATAAGAGTCAAGAATCTAAAAACAATTCATACAATGGCAATCGGAATCAACTTTCGATAACAACATCCAAATGCGGTTGAAAACGTCTAAATTAAAAATTCGTATATTACGTGGTCGTGATGGTGAATGCGCCTATACAAATGAGGTGGGGTGTGGTGGGGTGCCCACCCACGTCTACACGACCGCTTTCGGATGTCGCTATGCTAAATACAGTTCCGCTTGAGGTTCACTGATTTGATTTTGGTAGTTTATATTATGAACAACGACATGTCCGGTCGACCTAGATGAATGCTCTGATAGCATTGAAGTGTGGATGCGCTTGGCTCGAGCTCTGATCACATCTGATGGTTTGTGTGAAATACGCATATGTACGCTGCTACGCTCTTACGTACCAATGCATTTTTGTACGTCGATCAGTGGAAAATAGTCTACATAAATTAAAAAAATAATAATTATACAATAATATAGTTTAATGCTTTCTCATCCACAGAAAATATTTCAATTAACGACCGATATATGCAGGACACATGGAATTCACATTTTTCAAATTGGTCTTCGGGTGTCGAAATTCATACCTTGTTACATATAGGCTTACAAAACATGGGACTATAAACATTGATTGTACCTAATTTATTCTTAATAATATATATACATTAATGTAAAGTTTAGATCGTTTAAATAGATTCTTTGTGACTCTTTTGAGTGAAAATTTGTTTCCAAGTAGATTTTGTATTTTTAAAGTCTCCGTGATATGACCAAAACATGCGGAACACGTACTGTGGTAAAGCTAACGACTAAATAAAAAGTTAAATAAAACATTTATTGACAACACCAAAAAAAACGTCAAACTGTTTTTGAAAATTTGTACGAGACTTCAAAGTTATTTTTCATTGTCAATTTCATCACATTTTTTGTTTTCTTAAAATGCAAAGTGGATTCATATCAACGAACGAGACTACCAAGTTTGGAAGGCGTCAGTCTGTTAAGAAATCACTGAGAGTGGACCGCCGCCCGACTGGTTTGTCAATGTTTTTATCCGCTCACTTGCATTCTGAGGCACGGGAACCAGTTTCACTGGACTTTTTCGTTATTCCGCGACCTTTCACTACAAGCCCTTGTTGTACTCGACCGATTGCTGCACCGGGATGTAGTTTCCATTTATGACTACCAATAAAAAAGGCATTGAATGTGCAAATTTGGCTATTCGATTATCGTCTCGACATCTTCCATGGGGATAGACGCAGATAGAGGTGCGTTTTTTTAAATTAATTCATTATAGAATTTTAATATTATTGTATTCAACGTACAAGTTCAATATAAGTTAAAAACAAGTATTTAAGAGAAATCTTTCGCTCATTGAATCAAAGGTTTTTTTAAATCACATGAATAGCTAAACAAGTCTTACATGAATTTACTGTACACTGCGGTCTGATCATACCTCTGGCATTACCAATGTCAATGGAGATGGTGACCTTGCATCACATAGGCAGTCCAAACAAACGACAGTCATCTTCCACAGTAAACAAAGGCTTGTTTTTACTGTAAAGAAATAGCTCAATAATTCCTATGTTTGATTCAATTTAAGCCTGATAAATTTAGATCCGTAGTATACACTTCATTTACAGATATTTTACGTCTAGAACAACAGGTAGAAAAACAAATCCTGTATTGAACGTAATTCAAATAAATGTTTATTGAAAAACGTTTAAACTAAATGCAAATACATACGTAATTTACATAGTTCTTTCCGTTTCTAGAATTTATTTGAAATAATTTCGGGTTGTTTTTGTTCAATAAATTCAAATTTTAATTCTCGACCTCTAGGTGGGTTGGTCATTAGGTTCATATTCCGATGGAAATTTACTGAATAATAAAACACATTTAACATTATATTGTTGTTACCCTTTAGACTAGACTTCGGTGTGTTAGACTAAACACAGTTCCCAGTCGGAATCCTAGTACTTGGAATTAATGTCCACGGTTTAACTTCAACACGTCTTATTACAGCTAATTTCATGCATTGAAAGTTAGTTGATTTAACACAAGCTGCACAACGATGATTGTTTATTATTTTCCATACCATAACAGATATAGACACTTTTACGACTTTAAGAGTGATAAGCGCATATCTCACCAAGTATGGACTTAAACGACGAAGTTATTATGAAATCGGTTTTTTTAAAGACTTCTGAAATTTTGTCATTCATGTCATCCCAAATTAATACATTTTTGGAACGAAGTTCCTTATCGCGCGTTGTGAAAGGGGGCTAGACGGAAAAAATTCTTACGAAAAGTTGTCACGACACTTTTTAGATCCGTCATACTGACCAATCAACGTGTAGGCGCTTATCGCGTGACATTGCTCGTATCCGATTGGTCCGTGTAATGAGTACAGTTTCTCGAGATAGCGTTTCAACAATAGTAATTTAGTTCATAGTATTGTTTTTTCTTCTTCATAATGCCGTAATTTATTATTATAATTTAAAAAAAAATTACAATTCCTTCACTAATTAATCGAAAGGAACTTCGTTCCATCCGGGTGTCCCTTGACACCTCTGAAGTTTTTCGTAATATTGCTAGTTACGTATATTATTTTGCAGCGGTACACAGATTGTAGTATTTGATAAGGAAATTTTATTTAAAAAAGTATTCGAAAAGTCATTAAAATAACAAATTCAAATAAGAACATAAAAAAGAAGTTGATCGGAACTTGTTTATATAGTTCTTGTTAGGTTAATTTCTTGTTGGCGCCAAAAACAGATGATTACGACTCATTTGATATCAGAGAGTTTTCAGCCAGACATGACAGTCTCGGGTTGATGAATTGAGTTGAATTGAATGACAGATTGTAAAATAATAAAAAATGTCGCTGTCTTATCTTTTGTATTACTAATGAAGTAGTACTCTATCTATGCTCAATTCTAAATAAGGGCATGGTTTTACTGACGGAATAGACTGTGGTATTACGTCATATGTTTTTTTAAGTT